AGATCTGCGCAGTTCTCTGGGGTACTTTGTTACTCCAGTTGGAGAAATCAACCATTCAACCGTTTACGGTGAACATACCAAGAAAATCACTATTCAAGCTTAGAATGGCGTATGGACTATCTTGAGTCGGTCCTTTGAGCCACATATGCACCAAACCAAACCAAATAATGTTAACAACGTATGACCTAATTTAATCTCTTTTGCACATCGTGAAAATAGTTGCTTTTCACATTTTTCATACTTGAGGCTACTCTGATTCAAACATTGCGCATCTCGGGAATGATACAAATTTTTCTTCTTACGTCACGGTGAACACAAAGTTGAGAATCCCTGACACGCCATAAACAAGCAACATGGCCGTCAATTGCGAATCGCGAATAGCGACAGGACACATGCTGCTGTTTACAAGATAGGTAGGACGCAAAAGGACGAATCCAACGAGTCTGGATTAGTTTACGTTGATGCGGTTCTAAGCTTATCTTTGTCGTGTGCAATGGCACAAGCTAAGATCAACGTGCCGGACAAATCCGGAAGTATTAAGGAGAAAGATACAGAAGAAAAAGAAGGTAAGTAATTGAAGGCGATTAGTTGATTATTATGTTGAGTAAATTTTTCGAATATATATATTGTATATAAAATGTATTCATTATATTGCAGTATTATACATTATAACTTGGTAACTACAGAGTCTTATTCAGGAATTTATTCAAAAAATGATCTAGCAAATTTTGCAAATTTAAATCGTTATTTTTTCTTAAATTATATGTGATGTACATTAAACATCTCTGTGATTTGTTCTTCTAGGTTCTACTGTTTTGCCAGAATGTGCAGTGTGTCTGCAGCCTTGCATTCATCCTGCAAAATTACCATGCAATCACATATACTGCTATCTGTGTGTAAAAGGTGTTGCTAATCAAAGTAAAAGATGTCCGATGTGTCGTCATGAGATTCCACCAGATTTTCTCGAAAGACCTCAACTGGTAGAGATTGAAGAGCCTCAGAAGGAGTCAGATCATCCAGAGGAAGAATATCAGTGGTTTTATGAAGGACGAAATGGTAAGATATTAATTATTATTTTCACTTGAACAATCATATTTTGTTCAAAGTTTACTATTTTCATTCAGGACACATTTGTGAATATTTCTTTTTTTGAGATTAAAATGAGTACAGGTGTGCACACATGCATAAGTTGATATCCTAACCCCTTCTTAGGTTGGTGGAAATATGATCCAAGGACAAGCAATGATCTGGAGACTATTTACAAACTAAGGGATACACAGTGTGAACTTTTGATCTGTGGCATGCTTTATGTAATTGACTTTGAAAACAAATGCCAGTATAGAAAATACAATCCACGTTACAAACGTAATATCAAACGTGATAGAAAAGATGCGCCTTGCAAGGGTGTTTCGGGTGTACAATAATGTATTTACAATGAAAAGTAAAAACTAAATAGCTTGTTGAGTTATAAGACAAAATGAAAAGATTCAATTTGAAATTTATATTTGACGGATGTGAAGAAACTATATATTTGCACGATTAAACATTTAAAATTGTACGTTAATAGTACAACTATTACAATAAAGCATTCCATAAACAAGAATATTTGCATTAAAAAATGTATGTACTGTTAAATTTGATTATATTACGTTATAAGTCTGATGTAACAGTCTATACATAAAAAAAAAACTTGAATATAATATATAATGTATAAGTTTAAGATTTAATATATAAAAGAAGTAACATTTTCATAATAAAACTATGTTACGTAACTAAAAGATATGTTTCTTTTTATATTTTCCCAACTGTGTGCAATTTTCAATAACGTATTTTTTACTTTCATATAAAATTCACAATGTTTCTTTCTCTGTGAGATAATAAATGATGTATGGGCTTTCAAACCGATTCTTTCCAGGTTGGTGGCAATATGATCAGCGTACGAGTATCGAATTGGAAACTGCATATAAGCAGGGTAAAAGGACTTGCGAGCTGCTTATTGCAGGATTCCTTTACATCGCCGATTTTGGCTCGATGCTACAATTGCGCAGAAATGATCCTTCCAGGAGAAGGAGAATTAAGAGAGATCTGTATAACGTTCCAAGAAAAGGAGTTGCTGGATTAAGACTTAACGTGCAGGACGAAGAGATTGTTAGAGAAATAAGGGGTGCGGAGCGGCCAGCTAGTCCTGCAAGTGATAGCATGGGTATAAAAGATTGATATAATAAATTTAAATTTTACACAAATAAAATTTATCATAAATGCTCTCAATTATGAATATAATTAGACACATTTTGATTAAGTCTTTTTTTTGTCGAATACGAACTATTGTGTTTACAGGTACAGGAGATGGCACAAATACTCCTATACCACCTAGCAACACACCTCAAACTCCCGCTGGTGGGACCGCAAGTGGTGACGCCACGCCGCTGAATGACAGAATAGATCAGAGATCAGATTCCTTGCATCAGGTGTTAGAACAAATGCGTTCCCTAGTACTGAGGGAACATTTATCTTTAAGTAGTGATACCGAACTTGAAGAAGATACGGAGGATGCAACGATTGCGGATTATTCCGCTCTTTCATAGTTACAAATCTGAAATACACGTACGAGAGTGATAATCGTGCTTGTGAATCTCCAGTTCATTTTCGAACTCTTTATATATTATTATTCAGCTCAATAAGAATAATATATTACGCAAAACTTTTTTCTCTCTATTTTATGTTTGTATATTATGTTTGCTATAGTAGAATATAATGTACAAACTATTAATCTAGCAAACTACATTGCTCAATTACAAGCATAATCGAAGATTTATGTATACTAAGTCCATTGAGTTGTTAAATAGTTATTTTCAATAACCACATTCTTTTTCTGCTTTATATATACGTAAATTTATATGTATATATATATATATATGTATGTTTATATACATTATATGTATATATATATATATATATATATATATATATTAAATTATAATTTCGAAACAGTATGTTCATTAGTAAAATTGTCATTAAAAGCATATTATTTTGCAAATATATAAATCTTTATAATTTATAGTATATATATATACATAAAATTACTTGTTGAGATATAATTAATGTACTTAAAAGTTTAACTTTAGTGTAATATTGTAGCAATATGTAACTATAATAAATACTATAAGTTATATAAATTAAGAAACATTACAGTCTTCTTAAACATTACAAATTTCTGATAAAAATGTGTTCACGCCTTTTAGAATGGCGAATGGAAAAAAAAAGAATATAATAGAAGAAAAAGATTTATTCTTGTGAGAAGAGATCAAGTGTAATACTTAATAAGTAGTAAATGCTAGTTTTGAATAAACTGTAATCTGTATGATGTTTAGAGTTCTTGAATTATATAATTTTCTTGTATTACATGTATAAATAAAAGATTTTCTTCAATAATTTACTAAGTGTATTATTCTTGAAAACAAAAAAAAAATACACAAAACGCACGGATAAATAATTTATAAAAACGTTTCTATTGCTTTTTAGATAAGAGGTATGTACTAATAAAAAAATCAGGCACACATGAAAATGTGCAAAAAAACATATCTAATGAAAAACAATTCAAAGAAATCCAACAAAATTTATTTTATACAAAATTCAAACCCTGATCAGCAGCTACGGATCTGTTTGGATTGATCACGTGATCTGTGACGTACCAAATGCGCATTATGGAAGTGGCCTTTATATATAACACTGTGGCGGTAGTTGAAGAACGGCATTTGGCGGCATATATTTCGTCTAGAATGGTGGTAGCGGCGTGACTTTTGCACGTGTATGTATGAGAAGCTTGATATCAAATGTTTGTTAGTTAACATTAGTTGATTAAGAGAGACAGAAAGTAAAATTTTTCGAAAAAGAAAAATTTATATCGGAATTCCAAGTAAGTGCTACTTCATGGACAGTTGAATTTTTTTACGTTGTGTTTATGTAGTTCTGTTCGTGTAAACAGTTCTCGTTATTACCGCATCGCCGCGTATATATGCAATGTTTTTAATGTAGATAGATCGATGGCAAGAGAAAAACAGAGAGAAATTTCATTTACTCAATAAAACTGCTTGCGGAAATATGAAATCGAATGTATTTGTATTAAATAATGTAACTTTATACAAGTCTTGATACTTTAGTCCTTTGTGTTGTTGTGAGCCACCATAACTTGAAGTATCAGCAGAATTCGTTGTTTTTCTGAGAATACTTTTTTTTTTGTCTTTGTCATATGTTCTAGGTTTCTCATATTTGTATCGTTATTTGAGTTGATATCTGTTTTAATTGTTTATTTTTGTTTGAAGTAAATGTAATTTAAAGTAGTTTATAATGTTTTTATACATAAAAAAACGTATTTATATATGCGATCGTCAAGAAACAAGTGTTATATTCCGTAGGTCGTTGTCGAGTCACATCGTGACAAAAACGTTAGATATCTACGATTAAATTTAAGAATTACGCAGTTTATAAAATACTATGAAAAATATTTTGATTACAAAAGTCCGCCCTCTGAGTTACCGGTGACAAGATGTGTCACAAATTACGTGTGTGAGTGGAAACACTTATTGAAGTATTACATGACGCAATAAAACTCAGGGGAGAGTAGGGTTCTTCCCCTCCATGTTCCTTCGCAGTCTTTTGTGTTGCAAAAAAAAAACTTTTATGCCAATCGCGTTAATCTAGTTCTAGAATTTTTATGCTTCCCTCGTTGTTCCTTCGCAGTCTTTTGTGTTGCAGAACTTTCATACCAATCGCGTTGATCTAGTTCTAGAATTTTTATGCTTCCGTCGTTGTAGGTACGGCCTAGATTCCACTTGATCGTTATTGCAATCTTAGATTTAATTGACTCCTACACGCATCAAAATGCATCAACGCTCGCAATAACGACCGAATTCTTATGTTTACTGCTGGTGTATTGCAAATCTATAATTCATGTCACACATATTATAGATTTTCAGTAAAAGCTAGTGCATATCGGAACCAGTTAAATAACAAATTTTGAAACAGCCTGTTTAGATGATCTCCGATAGTTGAAAGAAAAAAAAAATACGACAAGGTTAGGGGAAAGCTATGCGCCCTCTCACTGGAAGATTTTATTGTATCTTGGTGTACATATCGCACATCTCTAACTTGCAAAAGTCATCTCTATAGAAAGAGAAGATTTGTGTTGTCGGTTTTGTAAGTTGAAAAGAAAGAGGTGCGACATTTTCGATGACTTGTTCACGATTCGAAGTTTGTCCGTTCAATTTAAAGTAAAAATTTATGAACATTTGTTTGGTTAAAAGAAAGTGCACTTGCATAATTGATATCGGGCGATATATAATCTAATTTTTATTGGGATGGACTAGAAAATGGAGAAAGTATGTCTCCATCAATGTAAGTCAACATGCCTGTCGTATGTTACAGATATTGAATAACATATGAAAGACGTGGAAGAAGAGAAAAAAAAGAAAACTCTCTATACAAGAAAACTATAGCGAGTGCGTCAAAATGCAGACTCCCTCTGAAGCTTTTCTATTTGTCACACATATTGAGCCCGACAATGTATTCTTGAAGATATGGGGTCAAACAGACAAGCGTACTGCTGGCGAAGTAGAACGTCTAATAAATTCTCTGTTGCCGCACTTCAATCAAGGATATGGTTGTCCTCTCAAAGTTACTAAATCAATTGTAAGCGAAGTATGCTGTGCTAAATTTCAAAATGAGGGTTATTATCGGGCAACAATACTTGACATACGTTCTGATGGAATGATACTTGTATACTTCATTGACTATGGCAATACAGAGGTGGTACTACCACACGAAGTTCATCTTTTGAGTGGTATACCTGGAGCTGAACATCTGAAAGCTATACCGCCTATGGCAACAGAATTTGTATTAAGTAACGTCTTACCTAAAAATGGTATCTGGGACAATGAAATGATCAGTACTATCAAGAGCTATTTGTGTTACAATGAATATAAAATCTCAATTTATGTGGTAAATAATCGTTATTTGATACAGTTATGGTTCAATAACGAAGATTTCAGTAAGGTATTGGTAAATGACAATATGGCTTTACCAGCTACCATACAAGACATGTTCAGGTAATATAATATATCTCATAAGGTAAAAAAAAAATATATATATATATGTATGTTTTCTTTCTTTTCTTAAAATGTTCAACTATAAATTTTTAAATATGCTTTTTTTCCCATGTATTAACTCAATGTGTTTTATTGTTTTAGTATGCAACATAGATTGCCTCAAGTAGCTATGCAACCTTCTCTCCAAGTATCTCAGCAGCCTCAAATGGCAGCATATCAACAACGAAACAAAGGCAATATGAATACAATGATTCCAATGACGCAAAATCAAAATATAAATCCCAATATCAATGCGCAAGCATTAATTCACAAAACTTCTTCTGGTGTAAATTACCAGAAGTATACTGAACCGCAAGAAGCACTTGTATTCAAATCCCGTGTATTAAACGTAGACACAAAATATGAAGTGTGCGTGTCACATGTAGAAGACGGTCCGCAAAAGTTTTCCGTACAAGTTAAAAGCACAGTAGCTACACTGCAACAACTTATGGACGATATACAAAGACATCCGAAAAAACCGCTAGTGGAACCACCATTGCCAGGATCAGTTTGTTTGGGAGTTTATTCAGATGGTAATGTGCTTTGTCGAGCGGTTGTAATGTCTGTGATGGAGGATAAATGCAAACTGTATTACGTTGATTTCGGTCATACAGCAGTTTTATCGTACTCAGACATCTTCCAATTGCCACCCGAATATATTAATCCCAAAGTACTGTCAATTAGGTTTGCATTAAGCGGTCTAAATGAATTACATATTACACCAGAGCTGAAAGAATATTTTAAACAACTTGTAAGCAGAAAGTTACTTGTTCTCCATGTTCGTCCACCAGAAGGTCCGCCTTTGATTCAGTATGGTGATCTGTATGACAATGGTGTCAATGTAAAGGATATACTGAAAAGAACATTTCCAAAACCAAATCACCAAACAGTATCACCAAGTTTTACTTACTTACGTTTACCACAACTGATGAAAGATACATATGATATGGTATCTGTTCCTTACATAGAATCATGTAAAAAATTCTTTGTTCAGCTGCAATCTGGATTGCAGTCGCTAGACTCAATATCGGAAGCTTTGCACAAATATGTCAAAACTGCACCTTCTTTACGTACACTAAAAGTGGGGTTACCTTGTGCTGCTTTGTACAAATCTCAGTGGTAAGTCATACTAAATTTATCTAATCAACACTACATTATATAATCTAGTAGTAAATAATGTTGCTATTCTGTCAATTAATAATAATTGTTGCGTATTTTGTATTCCAGGTATCGTGCAGAAATTACTAACATCGATGGAAACAATATTAAAGTGTTTTACGTTGATTACGGGAACGAAGAGGAATTATCTGTAATGTCTCTTCGCACAATTCATCCAGATTTAATGAAACTGCCGGCACAAGCTATAAAATGTGCGTTGGACGGCTACGAGACGCTTGCTGAAGATTCAGATGTCACTAGTCATTTTGAAAGATTAGTGCTCGAAAAACAAGTTTATATGAAAGTAGTTGCTGCCCAACCCGAAGGTTTATTAGTTGAGTTGTTCGATAACTCAACGAAACCTATTCATTCTCAGCTATTGGATAACTTGTTCTGCGACAAGACTACCGAGAACTCGCATGATACTGGATTTTGTGACAAAAACGAGAATTCACCTACGAAATCTCAAAATGGAGAAATTCAACAGTCTACGATACCAGTAAACGGTTTTCATAGGTAAACCAAACGATATATTATCAATAATTATTTATACAATTTTAACATAACGTACCACGTTCTATGCACTACAGCGACATGCATAAGATCAATTTTTTTTTTTTTTTGTTTTTTTTCAGCGAGGATACAAACAGATATAAGAAAAAATTCACGGATTTTAATACTTTCCAAGACAATAAATCGAATAATTGGAAAGATGAATGGTCTTCGGAGAAAAAACACGATAACAAATATGAAAGGAATACTTACTCTTCTCGTGATAAGTCACAAAACGATCGATTTATCAGAGACGAAGGCCAAAACAGATTTGGTAAAAATAGACCGTATAACAGACGCGATAGGAATGAAATAAATACATTCAACAGAGATGGTAGAGGACCTCCTCGAGGAACTGATGAGAATAGATTCAGTAACTATGGACACAGACATAATCGTAGCAATAGTGATAAAGATTCAGATTCTTCAGGTAAAAGCAGTGGTAAACATGAGAGAGGATTTAATCGTGGTTTTCGTCGAGAAGAAAATCGTAACAGTGGAGAAAGATGGAATGACTCACAAACCACAAAAGACTGGACTGACAAAGGAGCTGCTATCAAGAATAAGCCTTATAAATACAGAAATGAAAGATTTAACGGTATTTATACAATATATATTGTTAAGAATATAAATTTTAATGATATATGAATCTAGAATTTTTTATTTAATAAATCTTGTTAAATATAGGTAACGAATATAACAATAGTAACAACGATTTTAAAATTAGAGAAGATAATGTGACAAACTTGTCGAGTGTTCAGGTACAATTTAAAAAAATAACATTATAAAATTAATACTGTATTATTTATTGAACTTATGAACAAATTATCATTTATAGTTAAATACTGAGGAGTGGGATACAAACGATATTAACAAAGAACTCCAAAGTAATGTGTTATTGGGTACTACAGTGGTTCAATTTCCTTCACTTGATATTACTCTTGGCAGTGTGAAGAAATGCGTTGTATCCCATGCAAATAATCCATCAGATTTTTTCGTTAATTTACAATGCAACTCGAATTTAATCAAAATGATGGAAAATGATATTCGTAATATTTACACGGACGGAGGAGAAATAATGCAAACTTTTGAGATACAGTGCGATAAATGTTGTGTTGCTCTGGATTCAGAATGTTGTAGATGGGGCAGAGCAATAATCACATCTGTAGAAAAGAATAACGCAATTGTAAAATTTGTCGATTCTGGCAAGATATTGTCAGTTGACTTCGCGAAAATTAAAGTCATTCGAGAAGAGTTCTTGAACTTACCGATACAAGCTATACATTGTAAAATGCTTGGGGCACCGAATACATTCAGCAATGAACAGACTGCAAGTTTTATGGAAAAAGTTGGGAGAAATATTAAAGGGTTAGAGATGGAGTTTATTGCTGAGGAAAATAAACTATATCAAGTGTTGATATATGACGTGGTTGAAAACGGTAAACCATGTAATTATATAAATGAACAGTTTTGGGCAGAAAACATGGATTTAACAAAAGCTAAACAAATTGCACCAAATCAGAAAGCATTCGAAATAATAACAAGGAGTTTGCAAGCAAAATCAAATTATGTTCCTTTTGATTCAAAATGGCGAACAGAGTTTTACGAGGCTGGCTCTAAGTATGATATAACCGTCTCATGGTTTATAAATCCGAATAAGTTCTATTGTCAACTATTAAATAAAGAAAACGAATTTAAAGTAATGATGAAAGAAATTCAAACGGCGTATCCTGATAAAAAACATTCAGGAGGAAATATTGAGGTACTTTTCGCTGTTATTGTTGCTGTTTCTTTAATGAGTGTAATATAATGAATAAACAAAAAATTATAATTCTCAAAATAAATCCCAAAACAATGAATTTATTTTTTCAGGTTGGTTCAATAGTCATAGCAAGGTTTCCAGAAGATCGAGCTCTTTACCGAGCCGAAGTTATGAACAAAGATCCGCTAGATACTTATATAGTTCATTATGTAGATTTTGGGAATTACGCAAGTGTGTCACTATCTGATTTATATCCTGTTAAAGAAAAATTTATGGAATTGCCTAAAATGGCAGTAGAATGTTCTTTGAAAGACGTTGCACTCGATACTGCTAAATTTTCAAGTTGGTCCGATGTGGATATTAATGCATTGGATGATTGCTTTAATGCCGACAAGTACGAGTGTACTTTTCATAATCTTAGAGACAATCAATACTTAATTTCGTTATTTTATAATGGGCAAAGCGTGGCAGACACTTTAGTACAAAGATGTCTTGCAATTTCTGCGCCGCAAGATTTTACAAAAACAAACAAAGGTAAGGATTGGTTTAAAATCAATTTACAATATGAATATACGTACTTTATAATAAACTGTGTGTATACAAGCAGGTTAAATATGCACGATGGATTTTATATATTTCTTTATACACGTATCTTATATTATTATTATTATGTATTTTCTATGCGTAATTCTTTTAGTTACAGATATATTTACCACAGAAGTGTCCGCTGTACCAACAGTAGACATAAATCTTTTACCTGGTCAAACGCTTCGCGTGAAAATTTCTAGTGTAGACAATGCAGCTCAATTTTACGTGCAGCTTCCAACGGCCTCTAAGTGTGACGAAATTGTGAACAAATACATGGATAATAATGAAGTAAAGGTAGTATTTAGATACACTGTTGTGCATATTGCTACGTTATTCACATTATAAATAATGACTAGAAAAGTATTATTATTTTCTAACAAATTTAATGTTATTTTTATAACGCAATCATTATAACATCTATTATTGCTTATAATAATTAGAAGAAATATCTTCTTTGTGAAGAAATTTCTTTTGTCTTTTCTAAAAAGAATCAATATAAAACCAAATATAATAAATAAAATAATTGTAATTACAAAAAGTAATTTAAATATTTACAAAAAGTAATTTAAATATTTACAAAAAGTAATTTAAATATTTATATATAATAGTTTTATTATTTTTTATGTTTTTATATAAGCTATCGTATATTTAGCATCAATCATATAACAGTTTATAGATAACATGCAACTGTATGCTCCTGAAACATTTTTTAATTTCAAAACTATATAACTAATAAATGTCTTAAAATTTCATTGCACGAGATGTATGGTATTAACAATCATGTACTTATTACGTGATCATAACATTGACTTCACAAATGTTTCATAGTAATATTCGTGATGATCGTCATCGTAATATTCAGAAATTTCCCAAGATGTAACATTTAACATTGCAATCTTTCCTTCAACCTTAATGTCGATCGCATGAAGTTCGAGCGAATTATATTGATAAAGAAAAGTTATGATAATGCCAGGTAATGCCGCGATTATCGACTCGCGCGATATGTCTTGGCGCTGGTTGTCTAATTAATGAAAATGGAACATGGAAGCGAGCTGTAGTGATCAACTGTTCACGATCTGTCGGGTTTGATGTTCAACTTATTGATACCGGGGCGTACAATGAAGTGCTGGATGACGTGAGTTTATTTTTAATCGCAAATATTACAAGATACCTCAACGCCAAGGTGCAAGTTAATACCATACATCGTGCCAGAGAACGATATTTTTCTGATAAATTAGTTAATAAGAGATTTACAGTTTGACACAATGATTTCTACTTGTTTTTAAATGTTCAAATGATAATTTAGGTTCTAGGTTTACCCGGAGAACTTACTAGCATGCAAAATCAAGCACTGAAGTGTTCTCTGCATGGTGTGTCAACTTCGTTCGAGGCAGATGAAAAATTGAAGAACCTCGAAGGACAAGATGTATTAGTCCATGTTGAAGAAGTCAACGACAATAGGTCTGTATATTAATTGTTATCTCACAATCAAATGTACAAAAATAATTTAATTATTGATAATGAATTTTTTTGTTTATAGACTTTTTGTAAAACTGTACGATCTACTTGGTCACGGAATAATAAATACAAAAGACAACAATGAAAAAATATCACCCATATGTTCGTTACCTATTCTTACTTCAACGTGCCAAGTATTCTTGTCATATGCAGATCATGATTCAAATCTCTGGGTGCGACGATTTATGGATAATGATATTGAGATTAAATTGTGTCAAGATCTTAACGAATATTACAATAATAATAGCGCACAGACATTGAAACCAGAAGAACATCTATTGTGCGCAGTTAACCAGACGAACAATCAATGGCAACGAGGAAGAATCGTTAGCTACAACGAAACCACGGCATATGTACTGTTAATCGATTACGGCATTATCACCGAAGTCACCTTGGACTCACTCAAAGTTTTAGAATCGCAATTTTATGAACCTTACCAGTTAACCGTACACGCATCGTTACCCGTAGCTCTCATTGGTTCTCAAAGCGAACAAGCAGATATGTTGCATCTTCATTTGAAGGATAAGACCTTGACAGCTAACTTCTATAATATAAATAAGAATTGGATTGTCGAACTGATCGAAAATGGAGAAAAGATTAGCGACAGATTCTGCTCGCTAAATATAGCAAAAGAACGTACATCCGATCTGTCAAGTCAAACGCACGATCCATTAGCGTCCAAGTTCGATGTATACGTATCTCATATAGATTCTCCGAGTCAGTTCTGGTTGCAAAAAATAGATGAAAGTACGTTACTCAACAAAAAACTCGACCAACTTCAGTTAGATGTTTCTGGTTTTCCGGCAATAGACGGTGTACCGGAAGTAGGCACTTATTGCGCCGCTGTTTACGACGCCGATGGTTTGTGGTATTACGCAGAAGTGTTGGACGCTGACGAGGATATCACAACGGTCCGATTCATAGATTACGGCAACACTGATGTAATCAGTAACAATACAAATAAAATTCGACAGTTACCGGATTCTCACAAGAACCTAGAAATATTGGCAATAAAATGTAGACTCGATGTTATTCCTATAGATACGGAAGACTGGAGCGACTCGATTTACGACAAATTCTTAAATTTGATACAGTCGGCACAGTCTATTCAGGCTTTGATATTAGCTGACACAACACCTAAACGCGTAGACTTACTTTTAGATGGTAAAAGTGTTAGCGAAACACTAGTTGAGGAAACACTTGCCATAAGAATCAACACCGAACAGGAGCCTGTAGACGAAATAATCGAACTCGAATTGGATCCACATTCCGCTTTCGTGAGTCACTTGAATTCACCGAGCGAGTTTTGGATTCAGGAAGAGAAATCCGTTGCCGATTTAGAAGTAATGGCGGACAGATTTTTAGTTGCCGATATGTTCTCGAAAGTCACTGAAGCGGAAGAGGGTTTACTTTGCGTAGCCAAATATCCTGAGGACGATCAGTGGTACAGAGCACGAATTGTCTCTCACAATGAGGATGGTACGCAAGTCATATACATAGATTACGGAAATTCTTCTATTTCCACCGATATTCGTGCTATTCCAGAAGATCTGGCAGTTATTCCGCCTCTGTCGCGAAAATGCTGTCTAGAACTTCCACCTCAAATAAAGGAGTGGTCGGAACAAGCTTGTGAGGAATTTGTCAAATTAGCCGCAGACGGTGCAACAATTTTCCATCTGGAAATTTTAAAAGAACAAGAAACATCCGTGATAAAATTGACAATAGACGGTCAAAATGTCGCTGATATACTTGCGCTTAAGTGCGAACAACTGCCTGTTATCGAGGAAAGATTGCCACCGCTCGGTGAAGAGAATTTGCCAAACGTAGTACTCAGCTACATTTACAGTCCGGACGAATTTTGGATTCAAGCTGAAAGCGACATAAATGAGTTAGAAGTGATGTCGGATCGTCTGGGAAATGCAGAGAGTTTTCTCACGTTGAATAACCCAGCTATTGGAACGGTCTGTGCTGCCATATATCCGGAAGATGGATATTGGTATCGAGCCAAAATAATTGAGCGTGATGAAAATGCAGATAACACTTCTGCGGCCACAAAAGTTTTGTACATAGATTACGGCAATTGTTCGGTTACAGAAGAGCTAAGAGTGCTACCTGAGGATATCGTGAATATTCCCGCACTGTCGAAACGATGTACACTAGAGAAGCCAAGTCACATCATCTCGTGGAGCACGAAAGCAAGTGAGAAATTCAAAGAACTTGCTGCCGAAGGAAATACAATGTTCCAATTTGAGTCTCTAGATGAAGGCGATCCGATGCGTGTTCGATTAAGTTTGAACGGAACAAATGTCGTTGAACTTCTATTAGCTGAAGGCGAGAACATTCCAGAAATCAATGAAAAGATCGAAACAGATGATAAAAACTTTACTTCTGATACATTGGAGCAACAAGAAACAGTTTTCGATCACCAACAAACAAGTGAAGACAAAGAAATAATCACACAAGTTGAACAACAAACTTTTAGTCAAACTGATGAAATGAATGTCAGTAATTTGGATAATATTAATCAGAATTTGGAAAACTTTGAAATCAATAACGATAATGAAACATTTGAAAGTATGGAATATACAGATATAAATTCTGAAATTACAACACCAACAAAAGACATTTCTTCTATAGCCGAAACAAATGAAGATTTAAATATTATCAACGATGAAAGAGTTCAAGATCCAAGTGAAGCGATACCCATCGAGTCGTCTGTTGAAACAGCTTCGACTTCTGTTTCAAAATTTGATGAAATAACTGAGAATACAATAAAAGATACCATCTCAGATCTGGAATCACAAAAAAATGATACAAATTTAATAGTCAAAGACAAAATGCAAAGTGATGTCAATGAACAAGCTCCGATACTAGAAACAAATGTCTTCTCAGCTGAATGTAAAAACATTCCAGAAGTTGGAGAAAAAGCCGAAACAGATGGCAGAAACATTATTTCTGACACAACGGAGCAAACAAAAACAATTTTCCATCCTCATTCAACGACGAGTGAAGAGACCGAGACGAATAAAGATTTAGATATTACCAGCGATGAGACGGTACAAGATATGAGTGAGAAAATATCGCGTCTTAAGGTATCTTCGTCTGTTCGAACCGAACTTAGCGTTGATGAAATAATTGAGAACATGATAAAAGATCCGGAACCACAAACAAGTGATGCAAACTTATCAAATATTGAAAATAAGATGCAGTTATGCGAAATTGCTCAAAGTGATGCTAATCAACAACAAGAATTACTTGCTCAAACACATGTAAATGAACCGTCGACAGATGCACGAGATGTAAAAATTATTGATTTAGATTCTGAGAAAAAGATTTCAGAATTGAATAAATCACAGTCTTCTTTAAATGAGAATCAAAAGGAACAAGACGTGCATCCATCATCTCCAAAAATGCAAGTTGCAGAAATTACGTGCTCCTCAGAACAAGATCTGACAAGAGAGGACACTGTATCCAAAAGTTCACAGAAAACGGATGATTTAGAAAGTCAACCCGATAGCACAGATAACAAATCGAGCACCTCAGGTTACACATCTATTGTAACTACGACAAAACCATTGGACAAAATTATTTCACTTATTGCTGATTCGGCCAAGAAGTGTAGTGATTATACAAGAAAAGTATTGGAGGAGGAGGATATAGAGGAAAAATGTGTCTCCGGGAATGAATCACCCAAATCAGAAACGACAGTTGAGTTGCAAAGCTGGACTCCAAGCACCCCAAAGACACCGCATTCGGAGAAGTTGGTGGCTGCTGTTGTAAATCCCGTCATTGACTCGGATAGTTCGAACGAAGATGAGATTCTCACCATCTCTACAGAGAATGACATTCCTAAACACGCGGTATAGATCACGAAGTATAGCAGATATAAACTGCACACATCGGGAAAGTATCAAAACGTAAATTTCTAAATCCTATGTTTTTAAAAGAATGTTTGTTTTTTATCAGTTATATATATATTTTTTTTTTCTATTGAACTCACATTCATTTAACAATATTTACGGACAAAAGTGTCACGCACAAGTATGTGTGTGTTAATCAATTGAAAAATTTTTTTGTGCAAGCGAAATAATTCTATTCATTTACATCGTAGTCACGTCATGTTATCAGATACGTATTGACCAAAGAGAAATGCAGCTAATTAACGTGTGATTATTGTATTTTATTATCATTTGCCTGTGATATCGAATGAAGAATTATAACTTTTACAAACTTCCTTTCTCTTGTTTTAAGTTGTAATTTGATATTGTTTACTTTTAGTTTAAAGAAGATTATATTTTATTTAACCCTTTAGCTGTGTAAAGCGTATAATATACTTCTTTAGAAAGTAGCATGCTTTTGAGAGACGCATATTTATACGCTCAGTAAATGTAAAAAAAAAAAAAAAACTTAGACTCTCGCAAACAAAGAATATAACACATTTATTTCTTTACTTAACCGACAGTATTCAATTATGTATTGTGTAGCAATACGTAGTGTATTCTGGAACACACTGGTTAAGAAATAAAGAACAAATATTTATCATTATTACGAATTTCTGTTGAGAAAACAGCTTAAGGGTTAAATTTATCTATGAGATAATTTTCTAGTTACGTCAAAATCATTCAAATATAACAGGCTTGACTCTTTGGCTAAGCAAAATATATAAACAAATTTCAGGAGCCAAATGTTTTATTTATTTGACAAACGTTTACTGATCTTTACATGATGTAACTACGACAGTTGATATTGTTGAAGTACTTACATACATAATATATGTTATGCATATACATGTAAATAGTATATGTATATATATATGTATGTGTATGTATGTGTCGGCAAAATACACAAAATTGTTCTTACTGTTATATAATATGTGCACAACGTGATTGTACAAAATTTAAAATTTGATTATAATATTGTTTGTAAAAAAACGATGTATGATTTACGAAGACTTGGACACGGGATAAATTACCTGTGCATGACTTTTCAAAAAAAATAAAAATAAGAAAAAATAGACTGTGTCATAACTATCAGTGTTATACACATTTTCCACATATATTAGATTTATTTGATGAAGTGTAAATTTAAATTTACTTTAATTTTGCCATATAAAATACTAAAATAGGTTTAGTCTTCTATATAGTTATAGCTTATAATTTAAGTATTTCTATATTATAATTCTATGTACATTAACATATATATTGCGTTAAAATAAATAAAACACTGTATAAAACGATTTATATTCTATATATTAAAATATATTTTCTAATAAACATTTCTCAATATTTCATTGTGTGTGGTTTGCTTCTATCTACATATATTTAATTATGTGTATGTAAATAGAAAATCTTAGCTTATAAAAATATAAAACTTATCTTATATTTCTTTTTTTAAAACATTGATTTATTCTTATTTCAATTTTTATAATAATTTTTTATGTCTGGAGCATCAATAGTACACCAGATTAAAACAATTATCGATTATTTTGCATATCCTCTCTTTAGAGCCGTTTTTTGTAACACTTTTTTGTAGCAATCTTTTTTAATATGATTCTGAGTTCTTCTCTTCGCTACATCCAAAAAAAAATTCAAGTAAATTAAACATCAGATATGATAAAAAATGAGAATTGTAATTTGCAGTCATAATTAAGAAGATATTAATAGGCAATCGACTAAATTTTATATTTTACTATCAATAAAAAAATCTTTATTTCTGTTCTTTCGTAGACAAACATATATTACATGTCACATACAAAAAATCTTAAAACTATTATAAAAAATTTATCATAAAGATGTATCACCCTTTTGCTTAGCGATCATAAGATTTTTTTTCATTCTTGCATTGTAATTATCTCGTTTCTGTTTGAGAATAAATTCACGCGCAAATGCGATTTCATCCTCCAGATACCATCGCAAAGGACCTCGACAACGTTTGCAACGTCCTAGATAAGCTTTGCCCTTGATCTCGAGAGTTCTACTACGTTGAATCGGATACGGCAGTCGATCAATGTTCTGAACGCGAAACTTCACACCAGGTCCACCGCTGTTCACAATCACATTCGTCATGGATGATTTAAAGGGCGGATTTCGCATATCATAGCGTTTTTCAGGATCTTGATTCTTTTCCTCGCAACAGAAACCGAATGGCTTTTGCAATTGCAAACGTGATGTTTTCAAAAACTCTCTCGAAAGGACTCTCTTAATTTGTGCTTTCGTCATGTTGTAATTTTTTTTCACTCACTTGTACATGTTACAAAAATTTTGCAAAGCACGATGTGCCGAAAACGTCATTTTGCACTCGTTAAAGTTACTTGAAAATTACATATTACATTACATATCCTATATTAGTTGGTTGATCGAATCGAATCGAATCGGTAAGATCGAGAGTAAATAATGAAAAGCGATTTTGAGACAGTTCGTCGTATATGTAGAAAAAATTAAAAACGTAACTAAAGTCACATGACAGGAAAAAGTAGAAAAACAACACGTGAAAATAACGTGACTGTAATTTATATTATATATAACATTAAATAATACATATTATATATATACATATAATTTATTATATATTTATAATATTATACTTTATATTGTATTATATGTATTATATACATACTACAGTAATGTCACTGACCTCGGCCGCGCGGCCTTGGCGGGGTCACTGACCCGGCCGCGCGGCCTTGACGGGGCACTGACCTCGGCCGCGCGGCCTTGACAGGGCACTGACCTCGGCCGCGCGGCCTTGGTGGGGGGGGGTCACTGACCTCGGCCGCGCGGCTTTGGTGGGGAGGGTCACTGACCTCGAGCGCGCGGCCTTGGTTGAGTTTGATTTTCATGCGTTATTTCTGACATCTCTTATATGTACATCATTTGTATTATATTGTTTGTAGGACGTATATATTAGCAATAATACACATGTGAAGTTCTATCACACGAATATGAGATTGCGATTACGTTAGAATTTGACCAATCAGAATAGAATTCACTAAACTTGAGATTTTTGTTTCTTTTGTTCTGATTGGTTAGATTCCAATCAATGTCAATTTGCAATTTAATTTCGTATTCGTCCGAACAGGGCCGTGAATTTAAAAAAGAATGACGTAGTTTCGATTCGAGTGAACATTTAACTTACCGTTCTCTCTGCTATAGAAATTGTATTTTTACTTAAATACATAGATATTTCGTACACTTCGCGTTATGTGATGTGAAATATTTTATTTAACTGGTTTTACCAAACAGCGAATTACGCATCTAGTGTACAGTCTTGCTTGCAAACTAGGTTATAAACATGCAAACGTACATGTGACAAAGATTTTTTTAAGACGAATACGCGCGTCGAATTATGAATTCGTCCACTCTATCACCAAATACATTAGGGCACTCAAGTGGTCAGAGAGCGTCGGAATCCCAAGACTCGGAGCTAAACCCCAGTACCACTCAAACATCTAAGATCTTAAATCAGATGAGAACAGAATTACAGGAGCAGAAACAGCGCAAACGATTCCTGAAGGAACTGCACACCAAGCGTGTTCAGTCGTTACGAAAGGAACTTGACTATCTTAAGGCAACGGAGTGGAGATATCAGCCTATAGATCGGTATAACGCCAATTATAATTCTTTTACGTTGTATCCCAAGTGTTTTTGATGCTTGACTCCTTTTTCTTCTTCTCAATATGAATTATTTTTATCAAGCAAATAGTTTTAAATATTAATTTTTGTTTTTATTCTATTTTGCAGATACTTAAATACGAGTCAAAGAAGCTAATATGTTGTCGTTAATCTACAATGGAATTCAGTATGCTCTTAAATATGCATATTCAAAGACTGAAGAAGACATAGATGAAATAATATCTCGTATAAAGAGTACAAATGAGGAAGAAGGAGAGGATGATATAGGTGTAGAAGATTTATTAAACGAAGCAGGAAGTTACTATAAAACAGGAGTTATCACTCTTGTTTCCACAAATTATGTTCTCATTGATGATTGCTACACATATGAAAATGATCTCACTCACAATCTGAAAGTAGGCGATAAAGTTTATTACATGTTGTATTTGCGCGATTCAAATGGTGAGCCAAAAGTAAAGAAAATTATTTCTGTGATAAATGAAACATCCTGGGATAATGAAAATCAATTAATAAAAACTAATGTGATCCACAATCCTATGATATCAAGAAATGTAATTGCCAAAGTGACAAAACGTGAAGGTCGATATGCCATAGTCGAACCAAATAATATTCGCATTGACTTGAGTAAGGTAGAAGCCAACTTCATTCCACTAGTTGGAGATTGGTTGACATTAGAGTCTTTGGTACAACTGGATGATAATTCTACGGATTTGAGTGGGGAAATCTTAGAAGTAGATAGGATCAAGCCATTACGGTCTTATGAACATGTCGGTGTGATATCACAATATAATTCAGAAAGAGGAGTTGGAGTAATTGATAAGAATGTGATATTTCATAAAAATGCATGTGAGCCTGGTTATATTCCTCACGTTGGCGACAAAATACAGAGTTACAGCACAGAAAGTGATCAAGGGCTGTACAGCTGGAGATCTATAACTGTAATTCCAATGTTGGAGGCAAGGATTTTTTTATTTATCATAAAAATACTCTCGCACACATTATGTATTAATACGTAATAAATTTCTAAAATTTTTATTTTATTTTTAAATTTTTTTCAGCTTTCCAAGAAGTCTATTCCGTTGTCGGTCAACAACAATCTTTTTTCGATTTCATCAGATTGCGGTGATTTACTCAATAACAAAAATGACATCATTATAGATGATGAGTTGAAATTTAATTTAGATATACAAAACGAGAGTACTTTGGAGGTTTTGATAAAAAATACTGGCACTTGTTCTCGTGTATTGCAAGGTGGAGTTTTTATGTCGCAGAAAACGTTGTCTCAAGTGTCACTAGTGTCACCGGCAAATGTAAATACTAGTACAGTAATAAATCCCTCGGAAAGTGTTACGTACACCTTCAAGTGTGAGGCAAAATTTGTTGGTATATCCGAGGAAGTGTTCATTTTCAAATTCGAGGACTTCGAAATCGGTAGATTGTTTCACATAACTGTTAATGCAAAAACTATTTCAAAAAAAACGGAATCTGTTGCGCAAAGAAATAACACGAAAATTAATTTGTTTGATTTGGATGAGCTAAGCCAAACTACATATATTCCTGGTATAAAGCCATACACACCACCTAAGTTTACGGCAATGCGAGCTGGAGTGTTTAAAGTACCCCGATATATCTGGGACGCAGTTTTGAAGATTATGAAGGATATAAGCTCAGATATGGAATGTATAACTGCTGTTGAAGATCAAATAGCTTGTCTTCGAAAACCGCTCACTTACGAAACATACAGAGAACGTTTCCATACGTTGCTATATCTGGAAGAAATAGCTCAAGTACTTAATATACAACAATATAACATGGAAAATGTAGTTTTGCGACGATACGGGGAGTATCTGTCACTTCAAGTGCCAGGATTAACCGAAAAACGACCTTCTTTGCTTGTTGGTGATAAAGTGATAGTATCTTTTCAGTGGGACAGCTCTAAAGGTATAATGTTACTAATAAGATCTTAACAAATATGTAGTTTTGAAGTAAACTTCTTTATATACAAATTTGTATAAAATTTTGTGCATGAGTAAATAAGGAAATTATGTATGTACAATTAGAGAAATTATGTATAATTGTTTTAATATTAGTTTTAACTATGAAAACAACAAATATTGTTATTTATATGTTTCTAATTTGTGTTAATATGTGTGTAATAGGGAAATTAAAATATGAAGGCTACATTCACAAAATTACGGGTACCGACATCTTTCTCAAATTTAACGAAAGATTTCATCAAGAATATCACAGTGAGAATTGTCACGTGACCTTTAGCTGTTCAATGACCACTATTCACCGTTGTCATAACGCTATCAATTTAGCTATGAATCGTCTCGGATCTGATTTTCTATTTCCTACCAAAATATCACAAAAAGAACCACAAGTGTACTTTGACGAATACGAGACCGAAGAAAGATCCACTTGTAGACGGATTCGTCGTAAGCATACCGAATCTATATCTTCTAGCAATTCCGATTCCTGTAATAGTATTACGTCTTTCGATGATACAAGCTTTGACAGTACAACCAAATCTTCAAGAGTGTCGGTAGCGGAAAGGCTTTTCCATGTTAAACCTATTAAACCATCAGTTGGTGAAGCAAGAACAACGGCACAAATAGACACAAGCCAGAATTTTAAAACAAATCCAACAAAGAACACTGATGAAAATAAAATTAATACCACAATATCGAGGGAAATAGACGAATCAGTTACTCAGATTAATGATGAACAAAAACAGAATATTATTGCATTAAAGAAACGGAAATTAAAATGGTTTAACAAAAAACTGAATTATTATCAAAAAGAAGCTGTGAAAAACATATTGAAAGGAGTGGCACGCCCGTTTCCCTATGTAATATTTGGTCCACCTGGAACTGGAAAAACAGTGACTCTTTGCGAAACAATTTTACAAATTCTGATTGAGATACCTGAAAGCAGACTTCTTGTGGCAACACCATCAAACAGTTCAGCAAATTTAATAGCGGAACGATTGCTGGATGCCAATGTACTTAAACCTGGTGATCTGGTATGATTCTTTTTCATAAATCTACATACATATATGCATATTTATATGTGTACATTTCTTGCTAAATAATAATTTAAAACAAAAATCTGAAGAGTTAAGATCATAGATTAAATAATCTGATTTCAGCTTTAATTTAAATTTACATTTATTTATTGTCGTTTGTACATAGGTTCGACTGATAGCTCATCATTGTTTGGATAGCGATGTTATTCCCGAAATATTATTACCTTATTGTGCTACGGCTGAAATGGATATATGTAAGAATAATAGTCAGATTTATAACGAGAACGGACCGAGATTGAACTGCACTATGTCCGTTCTGGGTCGTCACAGAATCACTATCGGCACGTGCGCTGCGGTGGGAATATTACACCACATGTCTTTTCCACGTGATCATTTTTCGCACGTTTTGATCGACGAAGCGGGTCAAGCAACCGAGCCGGAGATCTTGATTCCGCTGAATTTCATTCATTCCAGCAGCGGCCAAGTTATACTTGCGGGTGATCCTATGCAACTCGGGCCCGTTGTACTGAGCAAGTTTGCGAAATATTTTGGATTAGGCGAATCTTTCCTGTCGAGATTATTGCATCAATTCCCTTACCAAAAGGATCCTGAAGGATTTGAAAGTGGCTACGATCCCAGACTTGTCACGAAACTCATTGTGAACTATCGAAGCTTGCCAGAGATACTAGAATTGCCAAACTTGATGTTTTATGATTCAGAATTACAACCTCACGTATGTACAACTATTATTTAGACCTTTCCTCTCTCTCAAGTCATCCAACAATCAACTATAGTTTGTTCGATCACAATATTTAGATATCGCCTGAAACGAGCAAGGAAGCTAAATTATTGAAAATTCTGAGAGCAGAACTACCCGAGAGAGATGGATTACCACCGGCCATAATCTTCCATGGTGTCAATGGTCAGAACTGCAAAGATGTTGATAGTCCAAGTTGGTACAATCCCGAAGAAGCAACACAAGCATATATTTATTTATTAAAGTTGTATAAATATGGGCTTGAGCCAGATGATATTGGAATCATAACTCCTTATCAGAAACAGGTATATTTTAAGTCATTCTAGACACATGTACGCGCTACACACAAACACAAATTATCTATAAAAAAAAGTCAAATATTTTCTTAATATTCTTCTTGATAAAACTCGATTCTCTGAATTAAGGTATTCCAAATCAGAGATTTGTTGACGGAGTTAGATGTTAAATTACCGAAAATCAGCAGTGTGGAAGGATTTCAAGGTCAAGAAAGAAAAGTGATTATTCTCTCGGTTGTCAGATCGTGTCAGGACTTAATCGACAACGACATCAAACACGCTCTAGGATTTGTCGCTTCACCCAGAAGACTTAACGTTGCAATCACTCGTGCTCAGGCACTGCTTATTATTCTAGGAAATCCCAATTTACTTGTTTTAGATCCCCTTTGGAGAACTGTTCTGACATATTGTATCGATCGTAATGCATATATAGGATGTAATTTTGTCTCTCCTTATATAACAAATCTCCAAAGCACAAATGAAATTTTGTCAACTACTGAGAAATCATGTGATTCTTAACACTAGTTACAAGTGTTTGTTCACTAAAAGCCTAACTTAATCGGCTTATCGTCTATCGATAGATTCTCGATAGTGTCCGTACTCAAAACCCATTCGTTACTAAATAATGTTGCAATAAACCTTCATTTGCTATTTCTATTTAGTTTTTTCACGAAATACTGTATATTTCTCTTTTTGCACGAAATACAGTAAAATTTTACAGAATAGATATGAATGTAAGTTGTAATATACAAAAATCCTTATTTACCTCCAAAACTTATGTGTATTTATAGACACGCTTCGTAAAAAATCTCCGATCAAGTATCATCGTTAATCCAATTAGAAGTGGATTAAGCAGGAAGAAATGATATATATTTCACATCAACTAATTATATTTATAAATCTGTCATTTTCGATGATAGAGAGAAATAGACAAAATTGACGGTTTTTAAAAGAAGATTACGCGATAAACATCATGTATAATAAATAGAAATGCGACAGTCTCTTTTTACACAAAAAAATGGTTTGTCATATTTGTTTGTATAGTATCGATTTTGACTATTGAATAAAAATACATTCATTTCATGCCGTATCCAAATGTAATTTTCATTATCATCCTTTCCTTTCGTATTCGGGAGAAGTTACATGGTTGCTTCACAGATCCGAAGCTTTTTTTTGCCCATTGCTTCTCCACGTTGTATCCAGATGTCACAAATCTAAATTCCATGAATGTTGATACTGAAACAAAATTATTCGTGATATTTATATAGAATAAAAAATGTATAAAATTTGTCATGCTTTTAAAGTGATCATATAAGTAATGACAAAAAATATTGAAAAAAAAAAGTAATAAAAATACCTGAGCTTTAATATATAAATGAGATACAAAGCAACAAGATATTTATTCAATACCTTAAATTTACAAAGATGATAAGCGAGAGAACCATGCCTTAAAATAACATATTAAAATATACATATCAGACACACAATAGATAAATTAGAAGCAAAACTTGAGTGAGTAATCTTTACGTTCTAAGTATACATGATCATTTGTATAATAGTGTGTAAGTGTCACTTGATATGCGTATGTATAGTTTAAGGTGGGAGATTTATACGCGCGATTCGCGCAATTTAGTTCCATCTCTTTACATGTACAAAATCTTTTTCCACAGCGTGTTATGTGTGAAATAAATGTGTGTGATACTGTGCGCGCACATATATTATAAATGATACTAACCTCGGTTAGTTCCACACTATACTTACTGGGTCTTGATTTTTCGCTTTCAATTTTCTCTCGATTAGATTCTCTAATGCCTCGCTTCGTACACTCAAGGTCTCAATCTTTTCGACCAGTTGCTGATACGGTGACGCCGGTTGACCTCCCATTACTACATGTCCCAACTTGCTATCGATCTTGGCGTCTAAACGCGCGTTACGGATCAAGTTCACGATCCAACATTCCGCCACATCCGCCTTCATATTCAGTTTTTCCGCAAGCATTCTATAAATGATGTAAAAAAGTAAGAAAAATAAGCGTTTCTCTGCTTATTTCAATTACAAAAGTGCAAAAACTACAGGTTTCGTACTGAATACTTATGCACTGATGAATTCTGCAGAACGTTTCGAAAATCATTAATCGAGCGTTTTCCACGAATTCATTTAGTAAAGCAATTAGGAAAAAATCGTTAAAGACAACAGTCTGACACTCTTGTAACTTCTGTCGGGCTCCATCAAAATCGAAATTAACATACAAGTGTTCGAGAAATTCTGTGATTGGGTCTCGATACGTGTAAGACTCCTGTGTGTACGCAAAACAAAGTGTTTGGTTTAATATTTCTCAAGCAGCAAGAAGTTTGACAAGTATAATTTTTATTTGGATTTTTAACCTGTTGTATCACTTTCACAAGATCCTTCAAAATAGACCGTCTAGAACGATTGACAATAACTGCGGCGGCTAAGTAACGCAGTATATGCGGACACATTGTTTGAATAGCATTCAAGTAACTGTAACAATATGTGTGTGTGTGTTTCAAATATTATATACTCTCTTACTACTTATATGTATATTATTAAATTCTTTTTTAAAATACATACTGCGGTCGATAGAGGAACATCTCGATAATGAGATCTCTCCCCTTCACGTGATTGAAAAATACAAATAAGCTCCAATGAATGAGCCATGTGCGCTGTTGCAATACTTGTAATGAATTGCCAATAACATTACTATCAATGTACTCTCGTAATTTGTTTACATCTTCCAATGCTGTTTCCCAATTTTGTACAAGAATCTCTGATGCTAATTTTCCCCATAAAACATTTAAATAGTTCTAAAAAAAATGTTTTTTATTTAAGTGTATTATTTACTCTGACATTTCTTAATTACATATGTACATAAACATACCTTATCAGTAGGTGGCATGATTAACATGTAGAAGTATAAATACGATGTAGAGACAGAATAATTGCCACATTCATAACGATACTTGGCAAGCTTTACAAAACTATCCATCATTTCTACCCTAAACTGTAACACACAAATAAAATCACATCACAAAATCTCTAAGATCAAACTTTTGCTCACAACAGTTTACAAGTTCAGTTAAAATATTAGATGAAATGATTTTAACACAGCTTAATCTACTTACATCAGATTCCTGAGTAAGATAATTATTCAACGCTTTAGAATCACGCATATTTTCCATCTTCTTCATAACTTCCTCATTATTCATAAGAGCTATAACTACGGAAACGTTATTTTGTAGCGACTGTAGTTCCTGAAGAACATCAGCACGTCTGGCTTTTATCTCCTGCAACAAATAATTATTACTAGTTAGTTAGTAGTTGATTCTAATTGTATATATATATATAATATGTGTATATATACATGTGTATAATTCTCTGTCATAAACTGTCAAACGCTAATAAGGTAGCACAATACAGAGAACACCATATCATGCGCGATCTAAGGAAGTATTTTCTGATTATCTTTTGCTACTGCGTATCATTTTCTTCCAGCCTCTGTCAGTGGTCCAAGATCATAGACGCGATTACCGATAATACCATCGCTTATTACTATATTATTTTTCTTGACTGCACACGATATGGGACTCTACTATACACATACACGTACACACATACACACATATGTACAGAATGCAATAAAACAAACCTCCGGTACTTCTACATTCGGATACAACTGTTTTCTAATGTCGATAGTGTAGTCGATCATGTTGGTTTTGCTGAGAATATCGAGCTTAGCTTGCAGTAACTCATCCTCGTCGTAAATCTGAAACAGATTGCACGTGACATAACCAAAACTTCAATGCGGTATTTGCGGCGCCTGAATTTTCACATCGCACCTGTTTCGCTGACAAAAATTCCAGCAAAGGAAATACTAAGTGGCGGTCGAGATATTGTCCTATACGAGACGTTAAATCAAATTTCGCCATCGTGGCGGTTTGCAGATATATTAATTTTTCGGTAAATTAAATCCCGATCTAACCGCACTTATACAACGTTCACAAAAGAAAGGACAGCGTGTCCTAATGTTACTAACGTGGCGTGGTGAAGCGTAGTAAAGGCCTTCACACACAAATTGCCGTGAAACAAGACACGAAAATTAACCAATCATATTACGAATTTTCGAAACACAAGGCTGCCATTTTCGAATATAAACGATTGCAATTGGCCCATTTTTATGGTATATAGACTTATTTCTTGTAAAACAAGTTGTGGTGGGGAATCAATCAATCACGATGATTCCGTTTTGTGAAATTATGTCTCGCATCAAGATTGTTAAACTCGGAGTAAAATCGTTTGTTTATTTGCGATTTTTTTTTAAATGCATGTGACCGCACCCAAAATATGCAACAGTTCGTGGAACTAGTGATCCAAGAGTGCAACTTGAAGAATATTCACAGAGAAGCATAAAAACTACTAAAAAATAATAATAATATTGAACAGACAGTCAGAAAAAGTCAAGGTCAAATAAGTAATTTTAACAAGAACATTTGATATCTTTTGTTTGTTGTTAATTAGAATTATTCCTATGATTTATAATATTAATCATAATCAATGTGATTTTCTAGGAACGTTTTGTTTAGTTTTGCGTAAAGATGATTACACTGTCTAGTGAGAAAAATTAGAAGGATTAATGTTCAGGGTATTTCATCTCCAAAAAGTCCAGCATAAGATGGAGCTCTCGCTTTGAGATTTCTGTTAAGATTTTACATGTTTATCTATTGACACGCACAGAAACTTCAATTAAAAAAATGCCGCCGAAGAAAGCGCCGGCACCGAGCAAAAAAGCCGAACAGAAAAAAAAAGAAAAAGTCATCGAGGTAAGACGGAATTTTGCAACTAACCAAAAATATCGGAATTCCACATGTTGTCTTTACAAATAGGTCTGAATCTACTGACAGATTTTTTTTTTTTTTTTTTTAATACGCATGTATATATAAAATATGTGTGTAATTTGTCTAAAAACTTTTTAAGGACAAAACGTTCGGTATAAAAAACAAAAAAGGTGCCAAGCAGCAGAAGTTTATTCAGCAAGTGGAAAAACAAGTAAAGTCAGGGGGAGTAAATCCACGCAAACTCGAAGATCCTAATGCCAAAAAGTTGGAAAAAGAGAAGAAGTTGAAGGAACAAAAAGAACTAGCACTTATTTTTAAACCTGTTCAAACACAAAAGATAGATAAAGGTTGAATAACAATTTTAATGTAAAAGACGCTGTTAGATCTATATAGATGTCACTTTCAAGCAGAGAAATAACATCAGCAAAATGCAATTTGCAGGTATAGATCCCAAATCTGTTGTGTGTGCTTTTTTCAAGCAGGGGCAATGTACAAAGGGAGATAAGTGTAAATTCTCTCATGACTTGAGCATCGAAAGAAAAGCTGAAAAGCGTTCTTTATATTGTGATATGAGAGATGATGATGACAAAGAGATGGATACAATGGATAAGTGGGATGAGGATAAACTGAAAGAAGTAGTAGAGAAAAAACATGGTAGTGGTAATCGTCCAACTACCGATATTGTAAGTTATATAAATAATCTGACCACAACATACATAAATGTATTATAGAAAATATTGAAAACTGTTAAGAAAATGTGAGAAACTGTTTTTTCTTAGATCTGCAAACATTTCTTAGAAGCAGTGGAGAAGGCAAAGTATGGTTGGTTTTGGGAATGTCCATCTGGTCAAAAATGCATTTATAGGCATGCTTTACCTCCTGGATTTGTTTTGAAAAAAGATAAAAAGAAAGAAGAAAAAAAAGATGAAATTTCCTTAGAAGATTTAATCGAAAAGGAAAGAGCTAACTTGGGACCTAATCAGGTATAAAATAAAATAAATGTCTATTAACATAACATAATATAATAATCTGTTGGAAAATAGATTTTGTAAGAAAAGTTGTATGTACACAGTATTGTATATATGTAGCATTGTTTTTTATTTATTAAAAAAATGTTAACAGACTAAGATAACACTGGAGACATTCTTGGCTTGGAAAAAGAGAAAGGTAAAAGAAAAACAGGAGCAAGCAATTAAAGATGAAGAGAAGAAAAGAAACGATTATAAAGCTGGTCGTCAAGTTGGCATATCCGGAAGAGAAATGTTTTACTTCAATCCAGATCTCGCGACAGGAGATGGTGCGATCTCGTTTAAGACACAGTTTGCAAAAATTTTATCTCATATCAGTAAAGTTTATTTTATTTTTAATTGTCGCAGGTATCGATGAAGGTGATGAAGCGATATCTAGTTATGCTCGTGAAGAGGATGATTTTGAAGATGTAGAATATAGAGAACTTGACACGGAACGTCTCGCATTTGAAGTTAGTGAGACTGATACTAAAGGTATCACCGTGGCCGCTGTAGATCGGTTAAAGGCAAACGAAGTTGATGATAAAAACAGTGAAGATACTACAGGTAATAATTAATACATTAGCTGAATAATGTAAAATATTATTGCAATCATATCGTTTTGTCATTGTCATTAATCATAAATTGTCTCATTATTTTAAAGTTACTTGCTTTCTTACAAGAGAAACGACGATATCAAAGTGTTTATTATAATACTATTATATATATTTTTCTATATTGAATGAGAGAGAGATTAAAATAATATAATTTTTTGTACAGTAACTATAGAAGATGGTGCTGCAGCAGTAACCATTAATGAAAATCTATTCGTGGAGGAGGATCTGGAAGGTTTGGAAGAAGAATTGGGGGACCTGGATTTGGAGGAGTGATCCAGATGTCCCAATCGTTTCTCCTCTCCACACCACACCGTTCCACGTCTTATCAGTCTTTTAATATCTATCGCTCAGATCATTAGTCTCAAATGTGATGCAATGTATAATAATCTTGATAATGTCCATATAAATAATGCCATTATACGTATACATATACACACACACATGTATTCGAACAAGTGAGTGTGTATTAAATTTTTTCTTTATTTATTTAAATATACGCGCGCACAAAAATGCAACGGTGAAAACGCCATCTACTAGCGAACTACTATTCGTACTGTCAGAAGTGGCATCTTTCCACCTTTGACTACGTAACTTCTCTTTGGTGCAAGGATTGCATTTTCATGCTGTAATGAAAATTGACAACGCCTTCGTCGCCTAAGTAACCAAAAAATGAGGCAGCGATAATATAAGAGAGACAAAATAAGTAATTCATCTTTAGGCATCAATTGCGCTAGATTTATCAAAATAAAGATTATTTTGGCCACATCAGTAATAAATTTCTGTAAGAACCCGAGTTCCAAAAAGTAACATTATATGTTAAATAGATACACGATGAAATGTTTACTTGACACGAAAAAAGATCTCGAATGTCTCTAGTTAATATTAAAAAAAAAACCATTGCAACAAAAAAACATTGCACACAATGTTATTTTCTTATAACAAATTTATATTTTATCTTTTTATTGTACGAAATTTATCTGATGAATCACTAATCCTTTGAAATCTATATATCATACATTTATTTTTTTGTAAAATTTAAAACTTTTTAAAAATTTAAATATGATATAAAAGTTATAAAACGCTATGTATATATTAATATCAATGATAATTATACATACAAATGATTTGCACACTGTACATATTTCACTTTAATAAATAATAGTCTTCATAAATTTTCTGACACAGAATTGTTGTTGCATATTGATTTTTCTGGGTATATCGGTTATCTATAATTGTCAATTGACCGAAACTAACATGTAACTATTGTATATCGATCCGAATAATATTGGCGCAAAACTGTTCTAATGCCGCATGTTTTGCCTATCGTAACTATGACTACAACTTAGAGTTAGGAAGGTAAGAACACTTGTGATTTTTTGTTGAGCACAAAGAAACACTCGACGTGTGTGATATAACTTTTTTATTGCTCGAGCGTTAAGAAGAAGAGGCAAAATGAATGATAAAGACGACAGTGCTTGGGTATTCGATTCCTTAATTGGATTTTTGCAAGGCCCCATTTGGTCCTCACCTCTGCTGACTTTCATTGAGGAGAGATCCATCGGTTTGTACACTCATTAGAAACGTAAAGTCAGTAAAGATGATTTTGTCATTCTGCAATTATAAAAACATGAAATATATTTTGTAAATATTATGTTGTTATAATTATATATTTGACTTAATGTATTATAGTTTTTGAGGCAAATACCGAAGATTGCGAAGAATATCGAAAAATATATCAAGAATATAAAAACTTGGTTGACTTGCTGCTAGGATGCTTCATGGAGGATATGGGTATCACACCGGAACAATTCGAACATGCGTGCAACGTTAACAAAAATACAAAGATTCCTATACAATTTCAACAAGTATAATCATTATATCCGCACACATAACTATTAAATTATATTTCACATTTGTTTCAAAATTCAGTAAAACAAACTTTGTTCTATGTACATTCAAAATTTATATTCATGAGAACAAAAAGTCACGAATATAATTAATATTTAAAATACGTGTTAAGATTCACGTACAATAATGTAGAAATAACAGGAATAATATACACTACACTTGATTGTACTTTGTATTAACAAATTCAGTTTTTTTATGAATATAACTTTTATCATTAATTTTTTTATAGAATCTGTTCGAACAAATATGGGCGGCTAACGAGTACGAGATATTCAAAAGAATGATGATACAGAAGAACTTGGAACTCCAGCTACAGGCGTTAAATATGATCGAACAAAAGTTCGGTCTCACTCCTGCTTCTCTCATGTACGAAGACGGCTTTATTGACGATGAATTGGTCATGGAAGACTTGATAAAGTAAATAATGTAAAGATATTCTAGTTCTGTTGCATTTTCAAGTTACTTATAATGAACGAAAAGAGAAAAATAACAATAAATAAATTGTTTATATTTATGCACAGCAAGCACGCATTGGAAGATGAGAGCGAGGAAGAAGCAAATATAGCTCCCGACAAGACTCTGATTGCTGAACATGAGCGCTTAGCTGCCGAATATCAGAATGAAAGGGCATTGTTGAAAGAAGCGCTAAGAAATTCGAAGGACGCGTCTCAAAATACATCGGATGATGAATCAACGGAAGAGGTTGGATATACCTCCGTTTCCGTTGAGAAAGAACCGTCAGTTAAATTTCATCTCAGAAAGACGGAACCACTCAAACCAATACCGACTTCAACAAAAGATAATGATGAAAATGAGGTATTCCTTTTAAATTTACATAGATCTATGTAATATTACACACATACACAAATAATTGTTTATAAAAATAAGAGATCTAAAACATTTATATCGAAAATGTGCAAGTAATATCGAGAGCAAAAATATATCTCACTAATTGCAATTGCAGATGAGCGAAGAGGATATTAAAAAGAGACAAGAATATCTGAAAGCCAGACGAGATAAACTTGTGGCTCTGAAAAAAGAAGCTAGAAATCAACAATTAGAAAAAAACAAAACTCGACCGAGTTCCGCCAGAGTAGTTGCCGAAGCAACCATGAGAGGAAAACAAGAATTGGAAGCAGCGCAAGCTATAGACCCTTCGATACTTCAAGTACGAAGAGCTCTTGCGGCCAGACTAAAAGCCGAAGTTGTGCATAAATAATTTTCATTTTGCGTGATGAATATTGCTTCTTCGTAATTATTACCTATATATATACAAGTTTGAAATTGCTATTCCAGTAAAATATTTTACGCTAAAGACTAATTGTCAATTGTGATATTTAAAGAGAAGATAATATACATATACAATTGAACAATATAGATATCTGAGCGACAGACGCAGATTTAGCTTTCGGGAGAAAAATATAAAATTTATGAAGATTTACAAGATAATTTTTTTTATATATTTACGTTTCATTGCTTTAAGAGAACATATACATAATTTTATTTCTAAATAATATTTCATAAAGAATATAGAAAACAAAAGTAAAAACATACATCTGCAAGTACATTTGCCCTGTAATGCTATATTTTGTCTTCTTAAAAATCTGATATTTAACAAAACTATGTTTAATAAAAAAATACTGCATTCTTAAGAAATGTTTTCTGTCACACACACTACAGCATTCTCGCGTATAAGAATATATATATATATATATACATATATATATATATTTCTGTAAAAGTATAAAATATGTAATGATAAGAATTTAAGACGTGCACATTCACACGCGAACAAAAAAAAAATATGCATAAAATAATATACTTAAGAAAATAGTGATATCATACATTAATTAGATTAAATCACAATGATTATTGCATGATGTATAGTCGTATTTGTATATTCAGTAGAAACTTAGAATAGACATTAAGGTAAATTAAAGCTTTGGTCTCATTGGGACCAGTATATTCTTCTCTAATTTTAGATTTTATTTAATTAAATACTCTTCACGCGCGCGTATGCGCACTTCTACAACACACTGTATTTGTATAACACACACATTTATCATTCTCACTTTTTTTGCAGTCTACTTTCTAACAAATGAGATGAATTCATAGCATAATACCAGCAATATAAGTACTCGTTATCGTATAATTTTATATAAGATTATATATATATAAGGAAAGCAGAACACGTGTGTCTATGAGTCAAAATAAAAATTTATAAGTCAGGTCAGATATGAAAACGAAATTCTTGTTTATGAAAACAAGTGTCATATTTTCATGTACATTTGATTGATATATGCATGAATTTATGATTTTTTTAAATATAAATTTAATTTAACATAAAGTTTTTAAGGCGGTTTTTTCATAATCCGTTCTCATATTTCAGACCGTGATCTATAATGTTTATAACGTACAAACAATTCTCAGATTTTGTGTACAAAATGAAAATTTTTAATAATTTTTTATATCTCACACAGAAAAGAAATATTCTAAAACAAACTTTTATTCAGATTGTAGAAGTGTTTATCAGACGTATACAAGAGAATAAGAAAACTCTCAATATATTTTAGAAAATTTACACATATAAAACTTTTATTATGTGCTCGTGTATGAATAAAACGATCTTACATAATAAGGAACGCGATTAGAAATACCGTCCCCTTTTTAAAATTAAATTACTTTTCTTTTGTTTTGCATATCATTGCACACACATATTTTTTAATTACATATATCCTGTAATTACTTTCTACTGATCACTGCAAAAATTTTGATTGTAGAAATAAATCGTTTATTAAATATGTGAGAGAAGATCTGATTGTATATAATTATTAACAAAATCTAAAAAGCAACCTTTTTATATTTTTAGCTGCTTGTTTTGTGCTATGAATCCTGCATTTAGATGTTAGGTTTTGTCTGATTTATTCTTCAGAATAAAATGCAAAATATCGTTTTTTTACACACACACCCATACACCTACACACACACACACACACACACGCAATTACAATTCAATCACTTATTACCGTAATACACACAGAATTGTATATCTTATGTTTGCTTTTAATTCACAAAATTCACGAATAGCATCTCATATAAAAAGGTCTCTTTTTTTTTTCTGTGCATAATATATATATAGTCTGTATACATATATATATATATATATAGTCTCAAAGAAAAAGCTTCTCTTATGTCATTGTAATTAAAACGCATACTATATTATTAGCACATGATATTGTACAATGTGTGCACATGTCTGTACTCTTTCTTTTAATATTACATCAATGTGACGGTTGAAAAGTACATAGGTAATTGCGATCTCGGCGACGGTTTTGAGACAGAATGTTTTAGACTGTAATATGTCAAAGAGCTCTCTTTATATATATATATTATATATATCAAATATTAAATATATATTTAAAATTAATATTAATATATATATTAAAATTAATATTTGTAATTTTAAATGAAATATATTCAAAATTTTATTTTTAATATATTTAATATTTTATGTCTCTTCAAATATTAAATATATTTACATTTTAATACTTTTTATTGTAGTCCAATAAATATGAGATTACAATAATTCTTTTCTTCTCTATGAAATTTATAGAGAACATCTTATTTTACTTGATACTAAAAGTAATATTACTCATAACAAAATATTTTAGATAAATTTCACAACAAATTGATAAAATGTTTTGCTTAATGTGTTTGTTACACTCTCTTTAAACTCTTTTACACACATATCAAATATTAATATAAAATTCTTGTTACAAAAGCAACTCGAAGATTGCTTGACAATAATTGAAGTATATCATTGATGATGCAGTTGAATGAAAAAGGAAGTCTAGAACACTCTGTATAAATGTCTTAAATTTGTCAAGTTAAATAGCATATGTGACCGCAGTTTTATATTTTCTAATATCACTCAGATATTCATTTTTTTTCTCGGTTTTTTCTTTACTTACATTCTTTGCACACATATTCTGTATATTCTGGGCCTTAATATCGGTTCCGTGTTGTTATCGAATAAATTGTGGATATATGTAAAACACATAAAGAACAACATTACTCGGCATCGTCGTCTTACTTAACTAGTTAATATTAGCCTTTGTTACATCTCTCTTTCTTTGTGATCAGTCCAAGTTGCACAACATTTTTTATGTACACTTATCACTCAGCTCCAGCACAAATTTGCCTACTTAGATATACACAGTTTGTTCATCTTATGATTGAATCAGTTTTTAAATCCATCTTTCACAATATCGTAAGTTAATATATATGTATATGTGTACACATATGTATTCCACTTCAATGTTCCAAGCACATGTACTTACAGTTCTAAAGCAGTCTTGAAAATTCTTTCGGACATTTGTTAGGCATATGCTGGATCATCTGTACATCAGCTTTATAATACTTTTTGTTGTATAATTGAAAATAAAAAGAAAAAAAAACCGTGAAGATGTATATTGTTTAATGCGATAAATTATAAAAATTACACGATAATAATTGCTAAAGTTCGGTTTTAGCTTTGTCGGTTGCACTAATGGTCCGAAGTGAACTAATTTCTTTTTACTGAAGCCGAATTAAAATGAATAATACGGCAAGGTTTTAAATTTCACACAAACTACAAAGAGAGTATGCGTGCGTATAAAAACATACTTCTATAAAATAAAATGTCTCTTTCAAATTTTTATTAGTACAAATTAGGAGTTTATATATTGCGTCTTTTTTCCGGCATTAAATTTTTTATTCAATATACATAAATGATATATATTGCATTTTTTAAAATAAATATGTTTATAAATTTAACAAATTTAAATCACATGTAGTGATTTAGTGATTTTATGAAGCGTGTTTTTGCAATTTTTTGGCTTTTGCCCATGTAAACACAGATAATTGATACGACCAATATATTTTTTAAGCTTACTGTGGCTCAAAAACTTTCGTGATACACTCAGGTTATACTTTATACATCAAGGATTAACATCGGGCATGAAGTGCATACACACAGACTGGCATAAATATACATAAATCAAATATTTATTATTATACAATTACTGCTACTTACATTGACAACCGAAAAGCTTGTTGAAAATTTTTTTTTTTTTTAAAAAGAACTGAAAACTCTTAAAGAAGTTGCTATGTATCTGCTTAATCAAAGAGTGTATGTTGTGTATGTGTTTACAATCATTACAAATATACATATATATATATACAAACTAAATACTATCCTCCACAGTCAAACTTAATAGTTTTATAGTGTCGGACTATTCTGAAGAGTAAGGTCTCTTTATCGCGCAACACAGGCGATTAAGAAACTTACAAATAGCAAAACAAAACTTTCGGTTGCTTTTGTGCGGTACATCACATGTACGCTTTGTCTCCCCTGATCTTACAGCGTGTAAACTTCTTTTCAACGGACTCCATGTGATACACTATTCCTAGTGTATCACATAACTCAACAACTGCAATGTTGCAGTATATCATTGTCTAAGCTTCATCTTCTGTATCTGTAAATTACTAATAAATTTGGCTGAATAGCCAAATTTCCTTAGTCTAGTCATAATTATTCATGAGGTTATTCTTCCTAGTGCAAAGGTGTTTCCAGACAGTGGAATGGACTATGGTTTAATATCTTTTACTTTTTTTTTTACGCAGTATATAGTACATACATTCTCACACTATGTCATATTATGCCACATTGTTACCTCTTTTGTTGCTTTTGTTCAAACGACAGTTCATTCTCCTTTGTTTTACCGGATACACTCGATCGACATAGCTTAGTTTTTCACTCAGACGCTAGTTTTGCATATATACTATACACAAGTCAACACAGACGGACCTATGGATGAGTGTCCACCACACGTCTCTTTAAAAGCACTTATTGTTGCGTCCATTCCTAAGTGAGAAAGCTCATCTCTGTTTCTTTCAAAAATGAAGGAATAGATCTGTTTTTTACATGTAGGAAGGTTACGAAATGATAATAGCAATTAAAAATCACAAATGTCTTGTTCTTTCTTTGTTTTTGTTGTTTGCCTACTATGACAATCTTTGCCGCTTTGGCGAAGGACTTAATTCTGAATCTTCTTCCTCTTCATCCGAATCTCCTTCGTAATCGACTAAACCCTAAAAATTAATTTGTCAGATCTTTAACTTCAAACGTTCTGTATTGTACGTATTATTATTATTTATCAATGAAATAATTACAAAAAATAATATCAATAAATTCTAATATAGTTGCTGCTAAGCATGTACATTTTTGGTGTACCTTTTTAAACAGTGCAGTTCCCGTTTTTTCCACAGTACCAATAGCCGGAGTAGGATTTATATCCGAAGCGATCGGTGATTCATTCGCCGTTGATGTACTATTGTTGATTTGCGGTTGTTGCGAGGTAATGTTGTTATTAGAAGTATTGTTGTTTAACATAGTTTGCTGTTGTTGTTGCTGTTGGTGACTCTTTGAATCTGTAAGAGCGGGATTAAGTGCAAAATTTGAAGATGACGATTGTGTTTTAGCAGAAACTGGAAGTATAAGATCTGCTGCTATTGCGGGTACCACCGCCTCACCCTCATCAAATTCTTCCTCTTCGTTAAACCATAGCTCCTCCTCCTCATCTAGCTGCCTTTGATCTCTTCGGTATCGACTATTCCGTAAAATTGATGGAACACTACACATATAAATGAATTTACTTCAATAGTTAAAACTTTAAATTACTCATTGAAAATAAATCTGTACATATATTTATTGTGTCTTTATCTCTATATATTTCATATAATTTATTTTAATTGTTCTTTATCTTAATCTACGTTTTGTTTTTTATAACACACTTAAAAAATAAAAAAAAAAATGTAATTATATATGTACCTGTCAATTGTAGTTCTATCACGATCTTTCAGCTTGTCTTGATGCTGTTCGTACCTTAATTTTAATGCCTTAAATGTTTGTACATAATCAATTGCTTCCAATTCTTTCGAGAAGTTCTCAACAACATGTGAACATAACGATTTAATATCCTCCTGAAAGTATAATATAAAGTGCCCACACTACGTTATTTGTATATAAGATACATAAATATACATATATGTATAATTTTTACATATCTTTATCAATCACAAGTTACCATAACTTACCAATTTGATAAACTCAAACATTTCCAGTATAGCAGAGTCTAAAAGGTTGTATCTGCCATTGTTTCTTACAAATGCATCAAATACGGGAGTAAACAAGTTACCCTTAATTATGTACCTATTATAAAATTCATCTTTTAATGCTATAATCTTCCTCATAAACCTTAATGCACATAGTACTAAAAAAGTGTGTGTTGATTTCATTAAAACCAATATTCTTCTGAGTAAATCTTTGTTCAATATGCAATTTTTAATATGGTATGTGTGATGTTCTACGCAAAACGACAACAGCTCCAAGATCAAGCCCAAAAGTTGTACTGTTCTATAATCTTCTCTCGCAGGTCGATCTCCGATTGTGTTCGCCAAGAGAGGCGCTATTAAAGTACCAATACTATTTTTGTAAAAGTAATTTAAGAAATCAGTCTTCTCTGACTTGTTAACAGAAGCCAACATGTTCTCGGGATCCAGGAGCAAACGCAGCACACCGGCCAGCTGCACCGCTCCACCCAACTCAGGATCGCTATCTCCAACAAGTTGAGCAACTATTACATTGATTAACATTTGGTCCTGTTCTGTAGTATTCATCTGCTGTAGGGTATAATCTCGTACAACACTTGGAGAAAACTCCACAATATATGTCAATATATCTATACTGGCCGTTTTTGTTTGAGAATCATTCATTGCCAAAGTAATTTCTAAAGCAGGAAGTATACCAAGTGCTGTTAATGTTTTATAAAATGCTTCTTTTCCTTGGGGCTGAAGGTTTTGTGAAAAATTGCAAAATTCTTTCAAAAAAAGAACCAAGTCGCGTCTTTTACTGTCTGAAGTTGCTTCGTCCGTCAACTGACGAAAAAGTTCAGTGAGAAACTTCTCATCATCCTGTATCAAAGTTACTATTTCAACCTTATTGAAGAATATAAAACTACTCAATGTACTCAACATGTTGTCCTCAAATACGCTTGGGGTTGGCAGCACAACGTCTTGAATGTATTGAACTCTATATGTCTGATGTATTTTAGCTAACAATTCGGTATTTGTAATTGGAATCGCTTGCTTGAATCTAGCTAACTGCCGAAGATATTCCCGATGTCTTTTTGGCTGAGATAACGTCGGTTCGTATTCCAAACAACCGACAACATCAAAAATTGTGTCATCGCTGAACATAACTTCAAACAGCGCGTTTTTATTAAGTAGGAAAATATTTTTAAATATGTCGTAAAGATGATGCAATCCTTCAATGTTTTCTAAATCCTCGCATGTACGAAACAGATGTAACAGCTTCTTAATATAACCCTCTGATTCCAGTGCCACTGCCAATTTTTCTTTTCTCATAGGGGATGTTAAACAATTTTCTATGAGTTCGTTAATGTCTTCCAGTCGGCTAAGTTCACATGGTGGTAATTCAATGGGTGGTGCTGCATCTGACATATCATCAAACCGCTCATCTTCGGATTCTTCTACAATATCCTGTGTAATTTCTACTGACGGATCTTTGCCTTGGACTTGACAGATCTTCTCCCATATTTCGTCACAGCCTGCCTTTTCTTGAAAACTTAGAGCCAAGTCAAAGTTATCCCCTTCTGACCATACTATCAAAGTATCCTAAAATCACACAATTATACACACATATATATATTACTATTTTATTGCTTATAAACGTGTTTACAATATGTTTGCAATAAGTAAAAACTTTTCACAAAAATAAAATATTTAATAATGTATCATTACTTATTATTTATCTTTTATCTTATTAAACTGTGTCAAAAGTAAATAAAAATAATTATAAATATTTTTATTGTTAAAATTACACAATTATGTACTAAAAACATATAAAAACACAATTCTATTTTGTTATAACTTATCGTTTAATTTATAATATAAACATCATAAATATTAGTGTTTATAGATAAAAAAATTTTATATAAGAGTTACGTAGCAACAGCATAAATAATATAATCAAAAATATACCAACTACAAAAGAAAGAGTTAGACAATCGTAGATTTTATGATAGTCATAATAAAAGTAAATCCGTGAGATCCTTTGTGTGCATATTACCTGTTGTTTCTGATATGCTGTATCAGGCTGTATCCTACTCTCCAGCAAGACAGAGCCATCGCTTTCCGCTCTTACCAACAGAGAGATCCCTTTTAATCTATCTACATAAGAAGAGGAAACATGACCTGTACCACGATCATCCCACTGTCTATCCGCATTAAGAGCATACAATTTCACTCTTCTACGTGTATCCGTCATATTGTAAAACTAATTAGTAAACACTCTCTCCAGTGTCACCAACTATCCTGCATGCCTTTTCAGATTTGCTGGATCTTTGGCTCTCTCAGCGATTATACTCTCACTTTCTACTGGGAAAAAAGTCTTTCAGATGCTTATCAGATTAACAATATTGGACAGACATAGATATGTTAAATTTCCGCATGCCCTTGTAGAACCCATTAAAGTTTTGTTATTGCATCAATGATGTGTAGTATAAACAAAACGTGTGGTACGTCAACGTCTTTACGCAGAAAAAAAAAAAGGAACGCTTCGGTACACACGCATACACACACACACACATATACGTATATATGTACACACACACACACAGTGCGGGAGCAGTGCTTGACGGTCTTTATAGTCGGAAACCTCGTGTGGCGTAACAACACAGAGATTATACACCAGTGGGTTTCGACACCAGATTCGAGTGATGCTCGCGGTGAAGATGGTATTTTCGCGTGCTTCGCACAAACGACGAGACAGGCTCAGGCGTAGCGATGGACGCGCGTCACACAAACGTTTCGCGTTTCCAGGCTTTCCAGCGGCTGTTTTTACGACGCTGTATGTTTACGCACCGTTGCATAAATCACCGCTCCTCTTAGATGCCGCACCGAACTCTCCTCCAGGAAGAGAGAGATGCGGGATGCGCGCGGGAAAAGTTTGCGCGCTGTGCGGTGTGCTTCACGTGTCGCGTCGGCGGCGATTTTTCGGAGGACGCACCGGCTTGGATACTGCAACAGCCGTCGATTCGACCGACCTAACGTCGTGATTTTTTATTACTCAGAGATATTTCGATACTTCCTCGATGGCAAAACGTTGCGCGCGTGTGTGTGTATGTGTGTGCGCGCACTCTGCTTCTGTGTATTCTGCCTTCAGCGACGACGGCGGCAGCGGCAGCGACGACGACGGCGACGACGACGACGACGACGACGACGACGACAACGGGTAGTGGTGAAACGTGCGTACAACTTGAAACGCTCTTGGGACGCGGCAGCTCATAGGAACACGATTATCTCGCGAGAACAGATGTCGTCGACTCGCATCGCCACTCGCACTGTTTCTCTCCCGAGTTTTATCACTCTAAAATTGACATAGACACCAAGCGGTCACAACACTACAGTACGCCATGATAGATCATAACAACGCGCCACGGGGCCCACATCGCAGAACGCAAGGACGCTGGCGCAATATTTGAACGACGTGACACTTCTCCCAAGAGCATGCGTTATCTAAAAAAAACCCTATGAGAATCTACGACGATAAAAAAGTAAACTACTCCGTTAGACATGTGTTCACGGTACACCCGCGTGACACGATACACATGCAAAACTGAAAACACAAGTCACTCGAAGAGCATCGTGATCTCTAAAGACCTCTGACGTTTTAACAAAATCACATATAAACGGCGTGGTTTCTTTTTAATCATCGTCAAAGAATGGAGATATTTATTTCAAACCGTCGGTTATTGAATAACAAAACATATTGTGCCAAAAACTTGGTTTGTACAAACCATCACAGCCTTGCGCGCGTCGGCGAAGATCGGTGATTAAAGCTCGTAATCGAAATAGGTAAACATTCGCCCATGCACAGAACTAAGAATTTATGGAGGGAACCTTTCCGCAAGAGCGCGGTAAGGGGAGAAGTACCCTGACTTCGGCTAATTCCGTAAGCGCTCGGAAATGTTTCGGTTCTACGTAGAGTCTTGTCGAATTGACCAATCATGTTGGTAGACTTGCTGATGCGACGTCAATTTTTGATTGCGCTGTTATTACAGGAATGCGTGAAACAAAACTCTGCGCATACATGTGAGCCGAATGATACCGAACGTAACTGAAATTTACCGGAGTCAGGGCATTACCCTCCCCGTCTCCAATCACGTCTTTCCTTGCTCTCATACCAAGCAGCTAATGTTTCCTTCATATACTTAGATCCGTGGTTAGCGGCACATGATACCGTTTTGAAAGTCGATAACGGAGAAAAATGTCGATAAACACAGTTCGACTCGTCGCGCTGACGCACAGTGCAATTTATTGTAATCTTCACGATGTCAGAAACGCTGAAGTCTTGCAAATAAGATTATGTAATATGTAGATAAGAATAAAACTTTTCCTTTTGTCTATATATATTATATACATATATATATATATATATATATATATATATATAAATGTGTGTGCGTGTGCAGAGATAAAAGAGAAATCATTTCTTGTTTTAATTATATATTACCCCTTTTTTTATAATAAAAATGCCTTACATAGGATATTTACGTTTATACCTTTATATATTTGAAAACTGTTCTCTTTATCTGTTTTTTGCTTTATTTATTAATCATAATAATTATCAAATAGTTTTATAGTTATGTGAATTATGATAAATTATATATATATATATCTCTGTAAAGAAAATGAAATTAAGATCATTATAATAAAAAGTAAATAACATACAATTAGTTTCTTTTTTTTTATCAGAAATACTTGTACTGTATCGTTATTGTGTAGTTATTATTATTTTCTCAATTTCATGAAAGAATTAAAGAAAGATAGCTTATTTACATATTATAGTATATAACTGTACATATATGAAATGTGCATGTATGTTGAAGCTCAGAGACAGAAATACTCAAGTAAGCCATTTTGTGGAAATATTGAATTAATTTCAGTTTTTTTCTTTTTACAGCAAATACTTTCGCACAATTATAATGGCTACGCAAATAGAAAAGCAAAAAAAAAAAAAAAAAAAAAAAAAAAAAAAAAAAAGATCGAATTTTTCGCAGAGTAGTGTGAATTGGAAGGCATTTCGAGACATGAAACATTCTCCCGTGCAAAAATAAGTTCCATCCATCCCGCGTTATCTTTTACACACGAATAAATCTGAAAAAAATTATAATGCCAGNAAAAAAAAAAAAAAAAAAAAAAAAAAAAAAAACAAAAAAAACCATTGTTTTACGCAGAGTAGTGTGGAATGGATGGCACAACGAGACATGAAACATTCTCCCGTGCAAAAATAAGTTCCATCCATCCCGCGTTATCTTTTACACACGAATAAATCTGAAAAAAATTATAATGCCAGGAAAACTAGTTTACCGCATTTCATATGTATTTCTTATAAAAAAAAAAAGATTTGACACTTTATAAAAAGAAAGACATAAATTGTCATTCCTATGAAACTCACACTCTCACGTAATCATGAGAGACTGTTGGTACTATGACTTTAGTTTGTTGAGTCTCAAGCTTTCAGTCTCAATTATTACTAAGTTTTGGATTTAACAATCGGCAGAGAAATTTTTTTGCAAGTAGTTCTGCGTGTAGTAATACTGTGTCTTAATACACGATATTAACACACAATTAGATTGTTTGTATTAATTTACACAGTACTAATGCAGACAGAACTAGATTTAAGATCATTTATCGAGATTTCTCGCATCGATCGCAAAATCCGACTTTAGTTATTACACAGTCCTCAATCGCGTTAACCGTTTATATTGAGGCCAATCATTAACCAAGTTAGTCTATTATATTACATAGTTTATCACACACAAGTTTTATTTTTATTTATTCTGTTGTTGGTGGAGGTGAAAATTTTTGCAACCTACGTCTGCGTAGCATTTCCTGCTCGCTCGTAACGTCCATCTCAATCTTAGACAAATCTAGCGTATCAGATTCGTTAGATGATGTTTCTTCCTTTGGTACACTTGAAACAGGAGTGCCTTCCTTTGACGTATTCGGAGTAGAAGTGATTTCTTTTGACGTGCTCGGAGAAGAGTTTTCCTTCAACATACTCGATGTGTTTTCCGATTTGGCCTCAGAACTTTCGCCACTGACTTCAGTGGCTGTGTTCGCTGTACCACTTGTTGTTGGTTTCTCAGATACATCCGATGTATTATCGACATTGTTTGTAGAATTGTACACAATACTAGAATTGTAAATTGCATTATTCAAAAAAAAAAAAAAATAAATAAAATATATATTACAACGATAAATTGAATTATATTAAATTATACAGACTACACTATCTCGATTATACTTACTTGGCTGTGGCAGCTGCTGTTTGATATTGATTCATCATCGCATTGGCTGCATCCAATAAAAGTTGAATCTTTTGCAATGTTTGTATTCTGGCTTGAACAGCTTGGCGCAGATTACCCTCCATCGCTCTAAGTTCTTCTTCGCTGAGTTCACTTAAATGCGGTGGTGGTGCAGGAATAGGCGGCAATGGTAGTGTAGGAAACAATGGTGGAAAAAGCGGTATATTTAAGGTGGGTGGTACATTCTGATTTGAAGAAGTACTTCCAGCATTATTTTGAGATTGCTGTTGAGATGATTGTTGTTGTTGTTGTTGTTGCTGCTGTTGCTGCTGCTGTTGTTGTTGTTGCTGCTGTTGCTGCTGCTGCTGTGGTGGCATTCCTGCAGCAGGCAATCCAGCCCAAAATAATGGGGGGATGTGAAATGGTGCTCCTGGTGGTCCTGTATTTAAGAATACAAGTTAAATTAAAAGAAGAGTATTAATAATTTCAAAATACAAAATAAATAATCAAAATTGTACCAATAGGATTGACACCAGGTGCTTGCGGAGGCTGAGGCACCTGCGGTCCTGGCTGAGGAGGATTCTGCTGCCTTGGTTGCGTAGTGGTCGGCGTAGGTCTTAAAATGTTCAAACGACACGTTGGACACGTTTGCTGACGTTGAAACCAAGAACGTAGACAAGCAGTATGAAAGATATGATTACACGGCAATTTTTTACTAGCTCCAACCATTTCCTCCCTACATCAACATAATGCATAAGAAAAAACGAAAGATTGCACATAATATAAGATACTTCTGTTTTTTTTAATACTTACCGACATATAATACAAACATTATCAGCAGCAGCCAATTCCTCAGCTGTTGCATCTGGATAGAGTGTATTCATATTTCTAATAGCTCTTCTTGACATTACAATATCATGAAATGCTTTTTTGAAATCTCGCATAGTATAATACATGGGTCGCAGTGCAAATAAAGGTAATGTAAATAGTTTTATCATTAAAGTCACAAAGGTAACATAGAGGACCACCTAAAGACATTTAATTAATTAATTGATTAGAGTCAAATAACTAAATATATATGTATACATGAACAATCACATACAAATCAAGATATATATAATTTTTTAAATAAGTTTTACATTAAAAAATTACCTTTAAAAAACCAATTATCAGTTCTGTGTACAACAAAAACACTGGTTTGTTATCCCACGGATTTTCACTTTGCAGATCAAGTGTGTGCAATATATATTTTACAGTAATATTAAGAACAACAGTGAGCAAAATTGCATATTCAAAGCCAAATACAAGTTGTACAGAAGGACCTCTAGTGGCTGTTGTAACGATTGCATAATGAAGCATTGTAAAATTAATGGTAAGTAAGAGTAATAATAAAGTAGCAATTCTAAAATGGAACAACCACGTTATTACTGGACTTCTCTCCATCTAAAAAACAACAGAGACAAATTAATTGAAGATATATGGACAATTGTACGTAGTTATAAATTACTCCAACATAGAACAAATCTCAATAAATGTTAAATATGTATTATGTACATACATGCAAATAATATTGTAAGAAACCATGTGTATACATATATATGTGCGTACATACATATGTATATGCCCGAGTTTCCTACAATGTTACTTAAAACAAACCGATAAAGATAACAATGTAATACTCACATAATCAACACGGTCTTCAGCTAGCCAATGAAATGATTTCAAAAATAATAGGAGTGTAAACAACGCTATAAATTTTGGACTAAAGTCATCCCGAAATACTGTAAACGCCAAGCATGTTTCCGTCACTGCGTACCACACTTTTTCCACCAAGTGCTGCAAACGACAGAAAGACATGTGTAAAAATTTAAAATAAAAAAATTCAAAAACAAAAAAAAACAAAAAACGATAAGAGACGAGAGTCACTCACCTCGATCTCGGCGGCGCGCAAGGTACCGAAAAAGATCTTTCGCAGGAAGGCGTTTATCATGAATGCAAGAATGAATCCCTGCGCGTAGATTACCTATAGCAATACGTCCATAATAAATTCGCGAGTTATGATTAAATTCAAAGGTCACTGCGTGACTTATCGCTATTATCGCGGAAAAAAACTCACGGTCATGCTCGGATTGGATTTGGTTATATGGACAACGGTCGGATAAAATTGTTTTCGTTGATAATACGCATTGCCGATAACAGCGCACGTTAATGCGGTGCTTATCAGCATAATTCCGGCCTCCCTCATTTTTGCACCGACCACCTTTCTCGTCAGCCCAAGGGCTGCGTTTTTTCCCGCTGAGAGAAATCACTGACACTTTATTGCACGGAGAATTTTCTTGCGTTTTTTTTTTTTTTTTTGCGAACAGTTGCACAGTGCTCCCGTGTCAACGTGGCGCTGATATCGTCGCGGTAATCTTCGAAATTATTACATCTGACACCGTGTAACGCACACAACAAATAACTCGGCTTTTGGAATAAGTTTTTGTTTCTCTTTTTTTTTTTAACGGCGACGAAAGAGGAGATGAGCGGGACAGTAATAATGTGACTCGTTGTAACCACGACGCGCGTTTTATCATCAATGTCAACCGTTCGACGTGTTTTGACAGTAGCGCGACACAGAGGTGGCGAAAGACAAGCGGTGCCACGTGATTGGTCGACCGAATGATTAAAGCGACCACGTGGATCGTGATGATTTTTGCCTCGATCATAAAACACGACACACGTATATACTTAAATTATCGTACAATCGAGTACTCAAAACAGAGCGGGAACGATATAAGAACAAAAGATTGCATTCTTTTTACAGAAGATAAAAAAAAAAAAATGCTTTAATTCGTTATACTAGGTACAAGGTAAATGTTACATTGACATCTTATGTATTTATTAACGAGCGATAACACATAAAAATGTTGCAATGAATATATGAGAAATCCGTTGCCATGTGAATGACAAGTAATATAATGAGAACTATATGCAAATAAGTGATAAATGCAATGACTAGTCTTAAAAAAGTATATCGAACAGTTTTATATTCTGTTCGCATTTTAAAATGTGACTCCAAATCACAAAAAAAAAGTGTAATTTTATACAGACGCACTCTTTATACGACACATATCTATTAATTTGTTTGAATATATAAATTTAAAAAATTTGTGTATAAAAATTTAAATTTGTATAAAACTCTAGCAGTTTTTGTAACATTTTGTTAGATATTTGTTTGTTTTCATATATATATATATATTCTGTTTTATAAAAAACAAAGTAACTTAATATACTAGGAACACCACAAAAAAATACTAGTTCTAAAAAAATATATATATGTATATAAATTGTTTCCTTAAACACATATATGAAGGATAACATTAATTCAACGCGTCTTTATGATCACATTTTACGTATCTGTTACGCATGTGTACTGAGATTTCTTGTTTTCAAAATACTTTTGGGACTTTGACGTTTCGGAGTCCCTAATTGTGCTGTCGCTTTCAACGGCGTTCTGCGTGTGTCGACTGGAGGTCTGCGCACTATCTTGGTGCTTCTCGGTGTTTTCACCGTCAAAGGTCGCTTAATATGTGGCGTTTTCGTAACATCCGGTTTGTAAGGAGACACGGTCGAATTTTCCAGCATCGTGTTGACGGACATTTTTGTCAGTGGCGATGTCTTGGCAATGATATTCTCTTTCTGATGAACTTCCGTGTCACGTGCGTCATTGATCTTTTTCTGTTTAACAACAATTTCAATTGGATCTTTATTCGAAAATTTCTGAGAACGATAATTCTTATCCGTTCGGTCTTGAACTGGTTTTGATGGCGAATTTATCAATTGCGTCTTTATTTTCGCGTTCGGGGACAGCATCGCGTGACAATTTTTGCTGTTTAAATCCTTGTTGGATTGTTTTCGGAAGATCTGCGTCTCCTTGTTCGTCTTGGGAGATCGTTTGATTGTAGAGTCACGACGTTTCTTGTTTGACGTATTGGCGGTTACGAACTCGGGCGTTTTTGTTGTGCACTCGTCGAACAATCTCGCTTTGGCTAACACCATACCGGCATTTTGCGCTCGCAGTTTCGCGACCGACGGTCTACCGGTTTGCGGAGCAGATGTGTTCGTTCGAGACGACGATTTGAAATATTTGTCTGCGTCGTTCCACGATATCTCCTTTGAACTTTCGAAAACAATATTGGATTCTTGTAAACAGTCGTTATTCAAAACTATATTTTGATGACTGTTGATCTTGTTTAAGTCGTCCATTTTATCATCAAAATACGACGAATTATCTACGAAGTCTTTGCCGTGGAAAGACGATGCTCTCCGCACAGACGAGACTGCACGATTATTTGTTGTATGCAGATCTTTGAATCCAGAAAGATTCGAATCACTATTATTTGAGATTCTGTGTCGTTCCGCGGAACGAGAAATCATTGTGTTCGTTTGATTACGTAAACAAGTTACTTCGTCTCTCGTATTGTTCGATACCATTTCGCTGCGTTTGTCGGTAGAATATGATTGCTCCTTTAAATAATTGTTAGAAAAAATCAATTCTCTTTCAATCGGATAAACATTTATTTGTTTATCGAGTTGGATATGATGTTGTAGGTTAAAATTTGGAGAAATATGCCATGATGCAGTTCGTCTAACATGTTTGCTGAAAAAATTAATTAATAAAAGATAAATTTTTTATTGGTTCAATTTTTTTCGTACTAGTCAATTATGTTTCTCTAATCATTTTATATATAATAAAAAATTTTAAAAAAATAGATGTCTAATTACCTTGTAATTTTTTCTTGTGAACGTCTTCTTAATGTTCCAATTTTCCTCGCGCTAGGAGACCTTATTATTTTATGTTCTCCCGATCTTCTGATTTTCAATTCCTTGCTCAGTCTTTTCGCTAAATAATCGCTCGACAAAGTGTTTTCGATATTAGCCTCTTCTAACGTTTTCTCATATGCTGTTTGTACTTTGTTTACTGAATGCGTTGTTATATCATTATCTTCGTTGTATATGCACCCAAATTCCTGGGAAATACACGTTTCAATTGCTGAAACACGATTCTTTATGTCTTCGTATTCGCTCTTAGGAATTTTGACATAATCTTCTTCGCCATGATCACTTGATAGAGATGCTGGCTCATTATTAGAGAGAGATATGTCAAATTCGTCAGAATCAGTCTTATCGGGCGTTAACAAGCATATGTTATCACTTTCATCCGTAGCATTTAATTTTCTTGAATTTGCGCTTACATTCATATTCCAATGTTGATTACTGCGATGATTTTTATCTAGCAAGTTATCGTGCTCGCCACCGTCGTCGGACAAGTCCACAGTGGCGTCAGTGAGTACATCTTCATACTCTTGCTGAAAATCATTATTCAATCGTTCATTATATTTGACTAATCTCAAACGTGATATCCCATTGCAACATTTATTATGTATTTTATGTGTGTGAGAAGAACTGCTTACTGAACTCCAACGTCTTTCACAACATGATTTATAATTATTCGCGCACGAATCTGATAAGTCGTCATCAGTCTTCTGAAAATATTTTACCAAAGTTATTTGTTATCGAAGTTGTGTTACCTAATTACTAAATAGTTCTACAAAATCAATAAGTATTAATACGCATACACACGCGGATACTTACTTGTTTATTTTTAGAAACAAATTTGTCCAGACTCAATCTTAGCCTCTTTGATTTGTCCAACTTATCAGCTGTTCCCCTAAAGTAGTGTAAAATATTACATTAACACGTATTTATATATGGTTTCTTGTGCTAATTATTTCTAATATTAAATATTAAAAAAGTATACACAATAAAAGACCAAAATTTGCATGAAATGACAGTAAAAGATAAATTTTCATACTTTTTCTTCATACTTGAAAGACGCTCTCTTTCAGTTACTTTCCGTTTTTTAGTAAATTTATTTGAGGACATATTTAATTGCATTGAATTTGTACAAGATTGCGGGCAGTTGATGTTAGGTGTGTCATCTGCACTTTTCCCAACCATTTTCTTCAGTCCATTGAACATTCCTATAAAAAATGACAAAAAAATATATTTCCAAATTTAGTATTCAGAAAAAATCTATTTAAAAAATATACAAAAAAGAATATGTAAAGATATTATAGTTACTTGTGAGACTTGCACTGCGAGGCTTCTTTTTCTTGGACTTTACATGTGGTTCAAGTGAGTCCAATCCATTATCTGTGCTTCCACTCATCTCCATAGATATACTTTGCGCAATATGATTTGGCAAGATACCAATATTTTCTGAATTTTCAATCAGAATCTGCAAGAAAATATATCTCTTTACATAAGATATATCTAAGATCTTTGGATATTTCTTTAATTAAGATATCATGAATCATTAATATTCTTACAATCATTTTTTATACCTTGATAATAGACAAGTGCATTTGCAATCTGTTCTGAACAGCTGACATGGATGTGTCTTGCAAAGGCATTATATTTGGTCCAATAACTTTTGCAAGATTCTCAATATTCATCTTGTTTTGTTTTTCATACATAGAAACTTTCTTCAGAAACTCCATAAAAAATGCCAGAGTGTTTAAATGATAGGGTGGTAACAGTATACATGCCAACAACAGTGCTTGCACTCTGTAGCTCTTCAACAGTGCACAGTGCACAAATAGATCGTGATATGTGTACGGGATCAGCGGCTCGGGTAGATCACGAAAAAAAGACTTCAAGCAGTTTGCGACGTCGATCGCGTGATTCTTCTCGTTTAAACTACCGCCATTGTCCAAACGAGATATCAATTCTTTCTGTCGCGCTTGGGAACCGGCTTTCCGAAAGAGACCCTCCTGCGTGATATATTTTTCCAAAAATGTGGAGGCTTGTATCACAAACACGGGAACGTGGACTATGGCACCCGACGACAAATTCACGATATCCAGAGCCTGATAGAACAGCGGGGTCTTGAAGACCCTCTTGGAAATGTTCTTGCACGCGTCAGATCTCTCGCTTTTGAGCATGCTCTTCTTAAAGCGGTATTTAACTCCCAAATTACGAAGATCGTTGGCAACGACATGATATACTTTTTCTTTGTGCAACACATCGTAAATCAACATCTTCGATACTTCAACGCGGTGTTAAATTACACAACACAAATCGTGTCTCTCCGGACGTGAGATCAAATTCAATGAGAAATTACGAGCAATTCAAATATATCTCATTGTACACACCTCTCAGCATCCGTTTTTATATTGAATTTGATTGAATTTGATAACTCGCAAATGCCGCCAACGTTACGGTCCGGAAAATTAAGGACGAGCGTATCGGATGAAATAGTGAAAACGGACCAATGACAAAAAAGAGACATTGGCGATAGCCAATCGGAGTCATTCCGTTTTTGTTTTTTTTTTTCTTTTTTCGACAAAACCAGATAAAAATCTCAAGATCCACGGATAACAGGGATTATCAATCTCAGAGGGTGCCGACACTCGCTGCCGGTACTAAAAATCTGTACTTCACGTCACATGTGCTATAGATTTCCAGTACTGGCAGCGAATATCTCGGGACGCAGACAGAAAATCCCTATATCTAATAAGCCGATCAACGATTTGAGTCAATTAGAATTAATTAACTACTTTGGGCGCAGGAAGGAAAGAATGACAGCTGTCACACGTTTGTGAAATAGTTTGATTACAATACGTATGGTGCGTAGTGACAAATCACATTTCTAATAAGAGACAAGAGAGAACGCTTGTGTTTGTTTTGACATTTGGACGCTACATGCGTAGCGGCCTTTAATCTGCATTATAAAGTGCGAAGTCAAAATACGCGCACCAATTCTCGCTCCTACCGAGAGCTTCTACCGAGTGGAACATAGAATGTCTCCGTCCTTGCGATTCTTCGGCCGATAATCGCAATTTCGAATAGCCGTGTGTGATTCTTCTCGCGTCACCGTCAGTGACCGTTCGATTCTCTTGCACGTCAGAAACAGCGCAGTACCAAATTCCTCGATATTATCGGATGCTGTATATTTTTAGACGCGCTCGCGACGAAGGTCTTATTTGTTGACGGACGTGAACTCGATTGCACACTAATTTACAAGGTGGTGATAATTTGACAGACGCGATATCGGGATGTGACGTGTGTGACATTTCGAGAGAAAGATTATCTCCATTCTATATCCCTGGGTGTTGTCTCGCTGGTCTCGTGTGTTCACGTGTGTGTCGCTCGATTTAGCGTCTCTCTGGATCGGGACGTCGAGTTGCAAGATCGGATTTCCATGCTGGCCCGTTGCACATTCTTGAGAATCGATAAGGAAGCATGCGTGTCTACGAATTTGTGAGTCACGCGTCAAACAACTTGGTGCGCGAATGGTTATTCTTCTCGACTAGAGGTGACCTAGACGCGCTCGCAAGGTTAGGAGGTCGCCGCAGCCAGCCATGAAGAGTCCCGTGACGTCTCAACGTTTAAATGGGACTAACGCGCATCCCGTCCCGTCGCAGAGTCTGCAGTTGTCAGGAAGCGTGAAGCCTCCTCGCTACAATAATGTCACCAACAACAGTTTCCAGGTGGTGAAGGTCGCCGGACGCGAGTCCGGCTGCTATATCGCCAACAACATCGTGCCGAAGGTCGGCAAGCAGCAATTGGTTTCCTTGAACGGAGACACAGTGCGCTGCAACAGCGTCAACGTCGACGAGGCACTGGCATGCGACGTGGCGCCGATACCAGCGGCGAAGACCAAAGCCCTATGCGTGCATATTCGCGAGAACAAATGGTATGACGCCGGGAACGTGGTTTCCGTCGGTGTGGCGGGAACCAGTTTGAATCATGCTCTGGAGAGCATGTCCCTGGCTTACAATCCTTCCACAAAGCAGCTGTACTCCGTGGAAGAGAGTAAGACTCCGAGTGATGCACAAATCGATAGCTCTCAATATTTAGAATCTCCGTGTAACGATAAGGAAATCTCCAATCCGAACGCGGATAAATACACAAAGCTAGAAAATGTTAGTGCGAATAGTAGTCCAAGGAACAGCCTGCCACGATCGTGCAGCAGTACGGTGTCTTCCCTTAGCGAGATATCTCCCTCAGGTAGCTTCTTGGGATCGGACGAACAACACGTCGTGGAAAAGATTGACAAGGCCCAGAAACGTTGGGCATTGAATTCGCTGTTCACGAAGAATATGTTCCCATGGAAAAACAAAGGTTCCCAACAATCGACGCCCACTGGCAGTCCGTCAAGAAACATCGACAAGGTAGGCGGTAGTACAGCTTTAATTCAACAACCGAGACCAGCGAATTTGCCCGCTAAAAACGCATTGGAGGAAGAGCGTCATCGTAAGCAATACAATGCTATTTTAGAGGCGGCAAGGAAGAGAGAATTGCGCGAAGAGAAGGAGCGTAAGCAACAGCGAGAATATCAGTTGAAAGAGGAAGAAAGATTAGCCGAAGACTCTTACACGTGGAATGTGCACGTCTTACCGAAGTTCGAAAGTGTGAAGAACACGAAGAAAGTAAAAGAGCTGTGGTGGCGCGGCTTGCCGCCGAGTGTTCGTGGTAGAGTATGGAAACTAGCGATTCCAAATAACTTAAATATAACACCGCACCTCTATAATCTTTGCTTAGACAGGGCGATGTCCAGCCCCAACAATGAGTCATTAGCTGCAATCCGATTAGATGTATCTCGTACCTTTCCTACCTTATGTGTCTTTCAAGAAGGTGGACCATTAACCGACAGCCTTCAGGGTATTTTGGCAGCGTATGCTGTGTACAGACCGGACGTGGGCTATGTGCAAGGAATGAGTTTTGTGGGTGCTGTGTTATCACTCAACATGGATCCGCCTGATGCCTTTGCTTGTTTCGCGAATCTACTGAATCATCCTTGCCACAGAGCCGCCTTCACATTGGACCAAAAGCAAATGGACATTTATTACAAAGTATACTCCAGTGCTCTTGCGCATAAGCTGCCAAAAGTCTTTTCCCATTTCACTATAGCCGGACTGAGTCCGGATTTGTATCTATTAGATTGGTTGTATACTATATATGCCAAAGCAATGCCTCTTGATGTTGCATGTAGAGTTTGGGATGTTTTTCTCAGAGATGGAGACGAGTTCCTGTTTAGAACGGCGCTGGGTGTGTTGCACCTGTATCAGGAGGAGCTGTTGAAAATGGATTTTGTGCATGGTGCACAATTTCTTACCAGATTGCCGGAGAATCTACAGGCGGATTCTTTATTCAACAGTATTAGTCAGATGTCCACGACCGTTGGAACGACCACGTTCCAGCAAATGTTAGTTCAATTTTCTTCGTAATTTAATGTATATTTAGATCATCTAAAATCGAATTTGAGACTTGCACTGTTTTTGTAATAGAAAAAAAAAAAAAAACAATTTAGTCTCAATGTAAAACTTCCGAAAATTATTTATATATTTTTTCCTATAGAATTCTTATTTTCTACATATAAATAGTGTAATATTGAAATTTGTTTTTATCGAAGATGATTCTTGCAACACAAGTGAAATTAGAAAAGTGATCTGAAGTATCAATCACAAATGTTGTATCGATAGAGATCTGCACTCTACATTCTCATTAAGATAGATTAGTATTTTTCAGAATATGTGACAGATTTTGTAGATCTTGTATCTGTGTCAACGTCTTACTTTTTTTTATTATGGGAAAACAGAGGTTATTATTTCTAAGTTTATTACGAATTTTAGCTCAATTATATATGTATGTTCTCATGTTTATTTTATTTTTATTAATTTATATAGAAATTTACGAGACAATGTTTTACATTATTTGTGATATGTATATATATCTATTTGAAACTATCGAAAAAATGTTCGTATCAAATCCATGCTTCATGTATCGCTCTGTAAGCATGACATGCACTATACACATTTCACGCTTTAACGTATAGTCTACATTCTTTGTGTTTACATTGAAAATAATCTCTTCAAAGAAAAAAAAGAGATATATACTCGAATATAACAATATTATTCAGTAATATCGCGCACTACATACAGATAATATTCTCATAAACATATTTAATCGTCAATAAAAATAGACGCGTCAAAATTGTAAGAAAGATTCTCGCTAAATAAAATATTCAACGCTATTCACAAATTTCGCGTTACGCTGATATTCGATAAGGAAATAAGGAAAATCTGAGATTACCCATACCGCGAAACATATTTCGTACGAAAAGATTTAATCAATTTATATCGGCCAATAAGAAAAAGCGAAGCCAAATAGCGCAAACAAATATATTATGCAAAGCAACAAATTTCTATAAGATTTTACATCATTATATATAAAAGATTTTTTTTTACTTTCGCTGCGTTGAAAGATGTATCGCTTATAATTGCATTTTTTAACTTTTTGACAGAATTATATCTTAACAATTGTAACATTTTCATGTAATTGGAGTTCTTCTCGGTGTGAGAACGCGTGGTGCTTGCATTGTTTCGCTTTGTTGTTTTATTTTTAGTTGTGATACGGATAAGGTGCTGAGCGTGAGATTATTACAATGTGATAAAAAGTTCACGATATACAACGGAAGTTTTATTAGCCTACATGTTTTTTAAAGTAGACTCTTTGTATGTACAATATTTTTCAGTCTTTTTTTTCCGCTACGGTACGGCAACTTGAGTTTTGAATAGCGAAATCGTATGATGTCCCCGTCTTTTGAGTGGCCTTCATAATGAAGATAGGATAAATTTGAGAGATTTAGGAACTTTCTATGTAATTATTATCGAACTTTACTCTGAAAGAGTATAAATCTCGAAAAAAAATGTATTTTCATACAATTTAACTGCAATAAAAAGCTTTATTGCAAATGTGCTTGTTGCGCATCGCGTTCCTTTGTTTAAAAGGAAGATACGCGCGGATTATAAAGAGATTTTAATTCGTAAAAACACACCTTGAATATATAATATATACATATATATGTATTGTATGTGATACTATCGATCAGCCTCGAAGATTTACTACTCATGATATTTCAGGATGACGATCACAAGCACATCGCAGTAACTTTGCATATAGCATGGCTTGAGAGCTTGAAAATTATACAAAACAAAAAATATATACCGACATAAAAAATTATATTCACAAAAAAAACCCACAAAATATACATATATATCTCTTTTATAATGTGCAAAGGCAAAGATATATAACGGAATGGCAAAGCTATAGAAGCGTCTATATGGAAATAGTGTCGTACTACGCAAACGACATGAAATTACTGTCACAACTCATTGAAATTCTCACTTATTCCTAGGAAATGAGATTACGTGAGGCAATAGCGTTGTTGCATTGTTTTTCATTGTACCTATGTGTTTTATATGATATGATTATTTGCGTGATATCAGTTTTGAGTGTCACGGACACTCGGAGTGACACGATATATATATATATATATATGTCGTATGTTTTATATAAAACTAGAATGATTCTCAATGCGTGAAATAAGAAAGAGATTACAAGCTGTTTTTTCATTCGATCATCTTCGAAGTGCGCGTGTATGTGTGTCTGCGTGTGTGAGTCGTAGGGAATTCGCGCGAGAAAAATAATATCCTAGTTTTTAATCGACAATACTCTCATTCCATCCACTGTTCCAAATTTCTACTACTTAGCGATCACGAACAATACATAAGGAATAAGTTTATAGATGTACATATTTAAAAAAAAAGCACAAATGAAGATAAAGTGTAATTCTAATAGTCTGTAGGAGACGAAAATTACTAAGTTACTTCAAAACTTTAAAACACAATTTTATTATCCACGTGTGTGTAAGCAGACGCGCTCATGCACTTAAGTGTCGCGAACCTTTTCCTAGGATCGATTAATAGTGATCAGTTTTTTTTTTGTACGCGTGGCAGTTGATGTTATCAACTTGATAATATCAAAAGTGTGCGCATACGTATTGTTGATTTTTTTTATTTTTTAATCAGATCTTTTTAAATCAAAATTTGTATTTTACGCTCATTCGTTTTGCTCAGTGCGAATGTAAAAAGTTTATTTTGTTACGATTACTCAAAAGTGCAATCTCTTTTTAAAATGCACTAATATATTTGTTGATTTTTTTACAGCTTTTATTATTCACTATAAATAATTATATATCAAGCATATTCTTTGATATACTTGACGACGATGTGCCAAGCGTATCATGGTTGTAAAAGAACGAAGAGAAGATTGTTCACAAGCATGCTGATAAGTATAAACGAATAATTTAAGTTTTTGTAATTTATCACAGCAGCATGTCACATCAAATTACACGGATGACTATTGTATAATCAAAGTAATTGATAAAGTTATCTGACACTCTTTTTAGTCGTGGATGGCAATGGATATTCAAAATACGAACGACGGAAAGGATGTGAAGCATTTAATTATACAATAGAGAGATATCCTTATCTATTAACAAATGAAGTAAAACGCGAGAATCTTCTAATTTGTGTGTCCCCTTTACCGATCTTCTCATAATCATACTGTAATTATATATATGTATATTATATTATAAATATATATACACGGTATATATATTTACCAAACAGAAGTGTATGTGTATGTAATTGTGTGTACAGGTGGCTTGCACTTTTTTTATTTCAGTAAAATATCTTGTAGATATAAGTATCTACATTTTTTGCTTAGAGACACAAAGCAAAAGAAAATGCGCATCTTGAACGTGCAATTCTTTGTTTGTTTTGTGAATCACAGTTTATGTGCACTACAAAAAGTAGCTAATCAATATACAAGATATTGTCTTCTAAACGATAAGATAGATCTGTTTAATTATTTTCGAAACGGTCATACAAATGTTCTATCGTAAATACTCTGCAAACGTGTTAACCAAGTCGTTATTTTACACTTTTAAGTTTTCCTCATGCTTCCTAAGGTTGAAGATGACGATGCCTAAGAAACATGATGATCTGAAAAATACACCTCTTACATAAGTTGCAAACGTTTTAAAGCTCTGTGCACTAACAACCATGCATGCACACTACGTGACACTTCTGTGTTCCTTATCGTTAGTGCCTCGATAGAGGAACTCGTTGTATATTTTATACGCGTTTTATCGTGTACATTTACCTTAAGTGCAATATTGTAATATATATTTTTTAAAGAAATCGATCCCTCCCGATTTTTCACACACAATATTTATTTTGTCAGATGTACCTATCGGTAAAATATGTAAAGTATACGTAGAGACGTTAGCAGATTAGAAAAAAATCTTCATATTTTTTAATACAAAAAAGAAAATTGAAAGAACAGGTTTTTGCTGGAAAGACGCGCGGTCGTAAAAATGTGTCACGTATGTACTTTTGCGTTACGTAAATCCCAAATCTCACGAGCGATTCCGTAAGAATGCAATGCACAACGACGTCTCTAATATAAATTATGCTTTTTATTAAAAAGAAATCTTTATAATATACCGTGCAAAACTCTATTATGTAAATAATCAGATGCTTGCTTCCTGATTTAATCAACAAACATAAGAAGTAACGATATATTTACTGCAATAGTATGTATAACCATTTTTATATTATATAATGGATTACGAACGAGATTGACGAACATAATATGCGTATAAAGAAAATATTGTAAATGACGCCAGCAACATATCTATGGATGATTTTTTTCCTAAATAAATAAAAACTATGCTCTATACATCGAAATCTCGAGTTTTATTCATTTCGGTTATAGTGAGAGATGTTTGCTTTTTGTTTTTAGTTTGCACGCTGTTGTGTGTTAAATTTTGAAATCACATAAATATTTGTTAGTAATGATTAAAATCGCATGTAATTTTTGTTATTGGAAGAGGATAAGTAACAATTGATTGTATAAAATAAATACATAGATAAGAGGTAATATACATATTATCTATTATTTCTTTAACATAACACGTAAGACTTTGAATTATAAATGTAGTATACATAATCATTTAATAATAATATTATATCAAGAGGCATGGTATTGCCTCTATCATTACGCTGAAACTGAGTAAACTCAGTAAACCTAATATTTGTGGAAAAAATGAAATACATATTTGCAACGAGAGCAATCGTTGAAATGAAAAGAACCAGCAAAAGACAACCGTAAGTAAATTATGTTTTTATACTAACACAGTTTTACTCTTATGTACATATACATACACGCAAATATATAATACATATAACAATTATATTCATGTATAAAAAACAGATTATGTATAAGATGATAGATTGTCTATCTCTCTCTTTCTCTCGTTAGAACATTATAGTGTGTTCTGTGTGTGTAAACAAAGAGAAACAATATCTATAAAAAATAAGAACGATTTAATAAAAAAACTGAATATATCCTAATCACAAAGTATCATTATGAATATATAAAAGCGTATGGTCAATGATGTTTTTTTATGACGTTACATATAACACAGACCTGTACTTAAATGTTACAACAACGTTAAGTTATCTCGGTCACATTGGTTCTGCAAAAACGTAAAACGAACAAATGCTCGCCCCTTATTTTCCGCTCACGAACAATTTTACCAGACATATTTAATTTTTGAAAAGCACTCAAGATATACTCGGGGTCATTTTCTTTGATAACAACTAAATAAAACATTCCTCTCTCCGATAAAATTTCAGGAATCTTGGTAAACACCTGTTCCATAACCTGCCTGCCATTTTTACCACCTGCCCAGGTCTTAAATACAAGCCTGTCATCCAACACTTCCTCGTATTCCGTAGCTACATATGGCGGATTGAATAATACAATATCAAACGTGTGGCTAATTCGTATGTAATCTAATAAATTCATTTGAAGAACATCTACATTAACAGTGTTAGTCAGACTAGTTCTTCTCGTAGCCTTACAGGCATCGGGATTTATATCAATTGCGATAAAATGGGCCTTATGATGTTTCTTCAGTGCCATTGCCAATGCTGTAATAACTATACCTGAACCACTACCTATCTCTAAACAAATCACAGGTTTCATCCCCTGCAAAATCTCCAGATCTGCCTCCAAAGCGTCTATTAACAGATATGAATCTTCAGAAGGCTCGTAAACTGTTTTAAGTTCTTCCTCTGACAGATTGACTACCGGAGTTTCCATAATTTATAACAAGGAATGTAAAGTTTTGTTTTTATATAAAATGTGTAAAATAATTGCAAGTAAGTAGCACAATTTGGAAGTAATATCACATTATTATTTTACTTAAACAAATTATATATATAGAACTATTGCTTATCAGGAACTGTTGGTTCTTCCTTATCGGGTTCAGAAGTAACACTGCTATATGCAGAACTATTATCTAACAATGTCTTCTTTTTGGCAATGCTTTTTTCAACATCTTGATGTACCTTGTTCAATCGCTCCTGAGTAGTTTGCAGAATGTTGCTGACAATGGTTATCTTATGTTTAGCATTAATAAGCTTCTTTACATAAGAATCTGTATCTAATGGATATTGCAGAGCTTCAATGGTCTTCTGAAGTTCCTCAGTTAAAGAATCGATCTGCTGCTTTAATTCTATTTGACATATCCTACAAAGAAACAAATTATATATATAATAATTCCATCCAACAATACATAACCTCTAAGATTCCTTGATAAATTTATGTAATTTATTTTCGATAAATAAAACAAATTGAGAGATCAGATAATTTATACAGCAACGAAAATTACGAAGTACCTACACCTTTTACACTTGCTAATAAATAAACAAATTAAAACACCGCGACTCTAGTCAGATGTACGTATCGCGTGTTTTAATTATGTTAACCATACCCGTATACAAGAACGTATAAATGTAAAATAATTTAAAAAAATAAATATGATCGCAAAGTACGACAAAAGTCGTTTATGTTTTGTGCATGCGGATTACAACAAGTAAAAAATCTGTCACAACCTTGTAGCCCGGATTCTTTCGTCCAATTGATCCACCGTAGGCTTCAACAGACTCATAAGACCCTCTGTCAAAGCATCTCGCGTAGGATTCTCACAGAAATCATCTATCTTGTCATCAATAGACGTATTATCGCTCGCAGTATCCACGTCCATGTTTGCGCCTTGTGAGGTTACGCGTTCGACGATCTGTCTATCTCGAAAATCGCAGATAATCGTTTCTCTCGAACTTTTCTTGCACTTGCGATATATCGAGATCTTGACCGCTTCGAGAATCGCAACTAATCGGCCGCCATTTTAACACACGTCGTGCGGCGGCATTCGTGTTGTAGTTGCGTATCGTTTCACTTTCGTGATCTGTTAATTCTTCGCGATTTTTATTGTAAATGTAAATATTTCGTGTGACAAAATGATCGTGAACGCTTCAAAAACATGTCGACTACTCGGTACAAATCGATTTAAGCTGACACTTCTGACAGGAAAGAATATATACGCGATATACTGTCGCGGTATTTCTCAGAATATTCTCGGTAAGATATTGGGTTAAATTTTATCAGAAAACTCGTAAAAAAAAAAAACACTAATTGTAGAAATAAATACGTTCGAGATACATACACATGCATAAAAATATCTAGCGCGTATATGATAAAAAGTAAAGTAGTACATAAGTCAAATTTATGTGTACTATGTAATAAATAAAAATGTTGGAAAGAAGATTTGGAAGAAGAGAGAGAAATGTGCACGATGATTCTTACGCGTTTTGCATGTTTATTTTTCTCGTACAACTAATCACATTTATTACACCACAATACACGACGGTACACTTAATAATTTAATCGAGTCTAAATGATAATCGTGGTACAGTAGCAATCGATTAATGCGGAGGTATAAATAGCATATTCTTATTTGTGTGACATCGCGTACAACTCTACGATATACTTGTCGATCGTAAATTCCAAATAAAAGTCGCGTTTCATCTCAACGACCATTCTTGGGGAAACTCGCATGTAATATATATTTTTAGTCGTAATGAAGTTATTTTTTTTTTGTTTTTTTTTTGTTACATCGAATTACGTACAGGGGCGTGGATAAATTGCCCATTAACATTATACCATGTCGTATCTCCACGCAACAGTCAGGGACCAAAGTGAAAAACAAATTACATGTCGGTTGTAATCCTTTCGAAATCAACTTCGATGACAATTTTAGGATGACAGTTCTATAATCGGGTTGCAAACCGCGCGCGCGTATATATATTTCATTGTTATAAAATATTACAAAATATATACACGTATAGTGTGAGAAAAAAATTATACACATGTAATTATACTATAATTCATACAAATTGCTGAGTTGCAATACGAAAAATATGAACTTGAAAAGTTATTGCAAATCACACCGCTTGTGATAAAAAAAAAAAAAAAAAAAAAAAACAGTCTTTAAATCCCTGGCTGCGCGTGTTGTTTGTAAATAGATGATATAGTCTTTTAATCTTAATCTAAAGCTAGTTTAAGTTGGTACAATTTATACATGTAATTATAGCGCAGATAACGGAGGCGATAGATCTCATCTCAGATTAGAGATACGCGCGAACTTATAGACTGATAATTTAAAACACAAGAGAAATATATACACAAACAGTTTTCTGATTTAGATTTTTTTTTTTTTTTTTTTAAACTATTAACACACAAAAATGAGAGCAATAAATATATTACATTTATGTAACTTTTGAGAAACCACAAAAATACAATATAAAATACATTTTTCTTTTATTTCCGCTTCTTTGGTCTCTTTGCAAATGAAAGATATAACGCAATTTTTTGATGAAAAAAATTACACAAGTATTTTATATTACTTTTTTGAACTAAGTTTTTGTATTATAATTCTCAATTTAAAATCTCTGCGTTTGTTCAAAACCGCAATGCAGAGATTATCAGGGTATGAAACTCAGAATGCGAGAGAGAGTTCAATTGTCGCGATCGTTTGATTTCAGAATGCATCTCCTTCGCTGCGTGAAGATCGACAGATCGAGATCGATCGTCTCCGTGATATTATAGGCTCGCGGTCGCAACAACGTGAAACGTCCGCCCGTCCATCCGTGGTGTTATCGATCGTCCGTCAGAATCGTTTCCACCGACGTCACGTTCAGCCATCGTTAAAATCGTAAGTACATACATACATTGTCAACTACGGCACACACGAAAGAGCGTACGACTGTGTTTTCTCCTCGTTCAAGAACGAGAGAGCGATCGCGTCTCCGATCTGCTTCCCGCGAGATTCCATTTCGAACAATTAGCTCGCTAATTAGCGCAATTATAGTATCAAAACGCGATTTAATATGCCTGCGCGTTTTACATATTAATATCGAGAAACAACATTGCAATCGTGTAAATTTATTTTTTATCGAGATTTTCTTCAAAAATGTACAAATATAATAGTCAATTTGTTTTTGTAATTAAAAATAAATTCATTCAACACAATTTTGCTCGTGACTCGATGAACATTCAAATTGAAAATCCATTATTAAAAATTAGTTAGGAATATAATGACAAAACGCGACAACGTACACACCGACACGCATTATACAATACTATCGCTACGCTAATTTGAGTTACGAGAGTTAAAAAACAATTGGTTCTTCTTCGACAACGCGACTACGTGCTCGGAACATCTCCTCCGAACATTTTCTCCGTTCTTCCAATTGTCGCTGGAAAGAACAGAGAGCTCAGATCGGTCGTTCAATTCAATAAAACAAGAGGAGGAGGGAAAACGCTTTCGACACGATTTAGGAACTTGGCTTGTAACGTAATGCGTAATTAATAATTTGCTTGATCGTTATCGCAATCGTGTGTAAAAGCGTGTTTACACTACGCGACTTTTCACCTTGTATTTCCACAAGTGCGGTTTCGCGTTGCCCCTCACATCCTTATCGGATCGCGCTTAAAAATCCCTATACAAACGTATGACGGAGCGCAATTCGTGCGTGTGTAATAATTTTTGTCCCGTAATTAACACCGTTGGTGTATTTATTTTACAACGCAGAACGGCTACAAGATGACGGTAGAGTAATGTAAACAACGCTAATCTCTCATTCCTTTCGGAGGATCAACTTTTAGTTAGTGTGTCTTAGAAGGTTTTTCTTCAACCACAAAGCACGTGGTTATTAGAGATATAAACGTTTTCTACAGAATATTTTTATTTATCGCTAAATAATACGCTTGTGCCGTTTCGATCGTCGGATCCGCGCGCGAATCCGTTTTTACTGTTTGCGCGAGAAAACACTCAGAGCTCTTGGAAGAATAGAGTCGCAATAGTCTTCTTGCGTGCTGATGTGATATCAGGAGTCCGGAACGAATCAGGTGGAGACTTTAACAGATAGGCTTTTGTTTGTTTGTTTGTTTTTTTGTTTGTTTTTCTAATCGCAGCCTAGAGTCGTCGATTACACATCGAACACATTGTGATAAAAGTGATTCTCAAAAATTCCGATATCGATCCCATTGATCTCTTTCTTTGTAAAACAAAGTGTGCGTCCAAAGATACGCCCATATTGTAAAGCTGCACAATTGAGATTGGCACAATCGAAATCGACACGGATTACGAAAAACAAAAAGCATGTATAGAAAATGGCACAGAATGAACGGTTTTGTTATTAACGATAGACTTTTCATTATGTATAAATAACGTAATGTATATTATTTAAGTTACAATTAGTTTTTTATTAAATCAATTTCTGGAAGGATTGCGATATTGCTTTACAGCTCGTAAATGTGTTTGTTTTACGTATATTAACTCGATTGTGATCTCGAAAGAAAAGTATCGTTTTCTTACGCTGATAAAGATCAGTGGTATTCTCTTGCTTTTTCACGATCGATGATTAACCGAACGCCACTGTCGCCGTCGCCGCCTGGAATCCGTGACGCAAACGATCCGGGAGAGTGTCACCATTGATCGATAAAGCCCGCGACTCACATCGCGACACGTGTCAGTAGTGTGCTTAGCCTCTACCGTTCTCTTCTTTCTTTCTTTCTCTCTTTTTTTCACTCTTTCATTCTCTCCCTCTCTTTCTCTCTCTTTTTCGCGCACTCTCGCTATCTCTCTCTTTCTCTCTCTCTCTCTCTTTCTCTCTCTTTCTCTCTCTCTCTCTTTCTCTCCACTACGTAATATAATATACCAGCTAGAAAAAGGATCTTAATAATTTATATAGAAAATGTACAAGAAAATCTACATTCAACGAACGCGTGTGATAGTTTCTATATGAGTATGTCGACGCGCGATGATCGAGCGAGCGAATAATAAATAAATAAAAACAGAAGTCGCGAGAGGGAGGAGAAGCCGTTTTTTGGGGGATGCGTTTTGTGCCGTTTATTACAATCGAGCGGTCCGCCGAGAAATGATGCAACGCGCGTTCACTTAACGCTTACGTGCAACTTGTTCTTATCTCGCGTATTGAGACAAAACGTCTTCCCAAAGAGAGAAGAGTTTTCTTTCTTCAAAATACACATCGAACAATCAGTCTTCAGATGAAGACAAAGATGTTCGGTTTTTTACTCGCATACACTTGCTCGCAACGACCTGAGGAACAACTCGCGAAACGCGCGGGCCTTGTGCGCGATATTATTTTCGATCGGGCGAAACGCGTGTATTCGTCTCCGAGCGAATGCCGCGCGTTCCAATTTTAGATGAGCGCATCTCGCGCTCTCTCGCGGTAGAAGAAACCCCGAGCACAAGACGGGGAACTCGAATTCGCACGTCTAGAATTCTTAATAGCCGCCTCTGAGGCTAATGTCGGCTGATTTATCTCACGAATGTCCCAGGTTGTGCGAGGGATGAACGTATAATATGTATCTGTTTAGTGTCGCTAAAGTTTGCTCAACCGAAGTTAACATTCACCGTATAGTTGAGAATTTCTCAAAGTACTTTAGTTCGTTTGTTTCTCGCACAAATTTTTCTAACGAGTAGTTCGCAGTTTACCTAAACCGACAAGCGGACAATTGAACTGACATTTGAAATTGCGGAAGCAGGTAAACATCCTTTGTCTCTTGGGAATGGAATCGAATCGGAGAAGGACGAAACGTGACTAGGTCCGAGACACTCTGTATTCCGGTGATGTTTAACGTCAGGATAACCGGTGAGGCACGTTAACATTCTAGGAAGGCGATCGAAACGATAACGCCTCTCAGATTCCAATGCGATAGACTGCTTTAATGATAATATACCTATAACGGTTAAATATATTTCATGCTTGAATGTTGCCTTCCCTTATCTATATACCTGTTCCGTGTTTGTTTTTTTTTATTTCTCCCCTTGCCGTTCTCTCTCTCTTTTTCTCTCTCTCTCTCTCTCTCTTTCTATCTCTGGAGTTTCATTGGATTCTCTCGCGCTGTCTTTTCCTCTCACGACTACTTTCTCCGAGCGCACCGACTCTCAAGCCAAGACGGCCGCGAATATAAATCAGATTTGAAGTGGCTAGACGTGGTACATGTAACGTATACGTACGTACGCGTTTCGCGCTTGTCTACTTGAGGCCAAACCTTTTAGTGCCGACGGGACGATACAAGCCCTCCGGACACGCCGGTTTGAAATCATGCTTCCGTAGCAGGTGTGTCGCTGTTTTCTCAAGAACATACAGAGAGTCGAGTCGCACGTATTATCACACACGCCGTCGCACCACTTTTATCTATGCTGTTTAGCGGAATATCGCGACGCGTATGCAATTTACACGCGTTTGCATATATTATACAGTTTTATCCGGCAAAACACGTTAACGAAAAAAAATTAAATAATTAAATAACTCAACGAGTTAAATAATTAAATAAAATAACGAAAAATCAAACAGAAACTAAAATCACACGGAATTAGTACAGTACTATATACATTAAGAGAATGTTATTTATAATTAACGTTACGTTTTCAAAGGGATACAATTGGAAACGCAAAAATTGAGATAAATTACAAAACTGAGCGCGCGTGAGCAGCTCTGAGAAAAATTTTATACACAAATACACACTGACTTTCATATTTTCCGCGAGCGTTAATGGGAGAAACAGCGTCGAGAAGAAATTAAATGAATAAATACTATTTTAACGTTGAATTTTTTTCTCGCTCTGTCAAATCATCGACTTAATTTCTGTCCGTGAGCACAAAATGAGGCGGCGGGACGGAGAGCGAACAAGATTAAAGACACCGGTGGCGCGTATGATTTCGGAAATTGATTTCACTTTGTCGAAATCTATTAAGCTTTAATAATGACAGCACCTTCCGTAATATAGATGCATTAACGCTTCTCCGCTCGCGTATATCACGTATTCGCGCGCGTCATATCGCGCGTACGATCTATATATGTATATATATACGTTCACTTTTGTATATAGCAAATTGATGTTGATGAATATGAATTATCATCGGAGCATCGGAGAAAAGCCCCGAGTATGAAAGAGCGCGGGTGTTGTTTCACTGTGTGTTATCACAGAGACGCTAATACGTTTTCGCGCAATTGACGCGTCGCGCGCGCGTATCGCATGGCCACTACCGCAACTTAATTAAAATCATCAATTTCTATTGATCGCGACATTGACTGCCGCGATATTGAATGCCGCGTCGCGGAAGTGAATGTCTCTCTCATTCTGATTTTGAAGTGTTAACGGCGCAGAAAACGTTTCGCGTTTTATTCGGAGCGATTATATTCGTCCCGAATAACGAGGGGTGGGGGGGGGGGGNGAGGGGCATACCGGCGGCGATTTGCGGTATTCCGGAGAGTAATTGAATCTGTCGCGTAAATTCGACCCGACATTTATCTCGCGACATTTCTCACGGACGTGCGATTTATCGGGTGCGAAACGGGGACGACGTCGAGCCCTCAAAGATTCATGCCGTTCAATAAATCGCTTGTCACGGAGAAATGTCGCGCGACAAATGTCAGAAGTGAATCGACATCGTGCGAGGAATGCACTCGTCGCGCACATATAAAGACATTAGAGGTTGGTCGTCGGAATCGCGCCCGCTCGGAACGAACTGGTTTTCGCGCTAAGTGAGTTTGACAAAGGTCTCCCGAGCGAGTCTCTCTCGTCAGGTTCACGCGGTCGTAGAAACGCAAATCCATAAAAACGGACATTATCGAAGATCACGATCGTTTGGTCAGCGCTATTCTCTATTTCGAGCGAATCAATGAGAATATCGTTCTCGCGAATCTCGCGCTGTGGAATATAATCTCTCTCGATCGCGAGATCTCGGTTGCGTTCGCGAATCACCAATCTCTTCCGCAACGCTCGCGTCGCTGTCGCATCATTTCGCGCGGCGAACGCGCTCCTCTTGGAAAAAAAAGAATCGCTGCTCCCCCTTTTTTTTTTTGTCCTCCTTCCTCGATTTGCCTTCGACGTGCGGTCTCCGCAAACGAGTACCGCAAAACAAAATCGGCACCCCGATACCGGTATTCGCGGCCGGGAAATCAAGATATGCAGGCTCCTACGAACACGGCTGGGAAGGGATCGACTTCTCTCTGCTTTTCTCTCTCTGCTTTTTACTCTCTCTCTCTCTCTCTCTCTCTCTCCCACACATACACACATACACACATTCGCACGCACGCACGCTCACACGCGCACACACATTTTCTCTTTCGTATTCTTTCATTCTTTCTTTCTCTCTACCTTTCTCACTATATCTCGCTTGCTATCTCTTCCCTCTCTGTCCGCGAACACACCTCAATGGCACGATCTCGCCCTTCGCTGAAAACGGCGCATTCGGCGGTGCCATTCGTCACGCCATTCGATGACGATCGATCTCTGCGTCACCGTGAGTCCACCTTGGCCGCCTCCGTCGCTCTCTTGGCCAAGAATCAAGTACGACCTGCAAGCAGAAGAGGAATTCCCGCGAATATAAAACCGATCGTTCACAGCCGCGTTACAGCCGCGCGACGATCTCGCTCGGTAATCGCGAAATCGGTTCACGGTCGTCGCGTCCGGTGCCAGATTATCGGGGCTATTCAAGTGCCTTGACCGCGTAACTCGATTTTTCGTTCAAAGAAAGCGAAAAGTCCAGAGAGATATTTAAAGAATGTCCGGAAAAATGATCTGTAACGCGTTTTGTACGTTTTTGTTTACTGTCGTTTCTTAAAACTGACGCCCGATTAATAGAAAAGTCGCGATGATAATCATCGCGACCGACGAGATTAATGGAAAACGATCAAAAGTTAAACGATGCTTACTTGTTGGGCTTGATTTTCGGACATCTGCAGGCCAGATCAGCCGAGTGAACGTAAAGGGACACGTCGCCACGTCGAATCCTCGAATTGGAATTTTTCTTGTAGATGAAATCGACGTTCAGAGTGAATCGAATCCAGGATGTGCCTGTTACGCTTGTGCCGGCCTGCGAGCCGTCGCTTTTCTTGTGCCTGTCCGTTATTCTGCCCAGAATAGCTGCGATGAAAAAAAAGAAAGAACGTATTGAAACATTGTGTTTCGAGCACGTGATGTCGCCAACACAATGAGTTACGTTGTCGTCGAGACGTGTCTACGTACGGAAGAAAGTCTTTTGATATAGTTGATATAAATCTCTTGATATATAATTATAGCATAATTATTGTACACAAATAAAAACAATACAAATTCTATATAATTGTAAAAATAAAATAAAAAGATTACTCGCGAGACGTTTCATATCGTGACCAGAATGCGTATCGGACACAATCGGTATCAGCCTTTAACACGGACGCGCACGTGTACCTTACATTCAAAGAACCAGGGTCCTTTCAACCGACGTCGGGGACCGTAGAATCAAACGAAGAAGGGAGGGGGAGGGGGACGGGAAGTACAGGAGGGAATTTTTCTTTCTTTCTTTCTCTCCCCCGTTACGATCGTACCCATCGATCCTGTCGTCCTCAGGACAGGGATACTATTAGCCTTTCGCCAAGGACTAGGGTCACGGCCCCGGCGAAACGATTCAGCGTTGAGTTGCATTCGATCGAACCATTCATTACTCGACGTCGGCGTTACGAGTTTATACGCCATCATGCTTGACCTCAGAGTTTGCTATTCGAATCACGGGGTCGCGGATATTCCTCACATCGTAGTCTCTGGGGGATTTTTCATTCTCCTCCGGGGGAGGATAAGAAGGGGGCAAAATATATCTTTGTAACGGAATTATATATTTTCTACGACAGTTTTGCGGAACCTCGCGGTAATGCTCCAAGACTGATGTTGTGAGAAATATCGCAGATTTATTTTATCTAAACGAGATGTCGAGGAAAGAATCCCATTCGCCATTACTGTGATAATTAATTATCTGATTTTTTGTAATCGGAATTGGTCCTTTTCTGAGACACTGACATGTGATTTTTTGTTTTTCATCTCATTTCGTGTTTGTTTTTTACTTGTATCGTGAAATTGCGTAAGACGGTATCGCGATTTCTTCTTTGACACGGCCGTAAATACAGAAATAGCGGGAGAAGCTTTCCCGCCGCGTAACCTTCGCTCTCTGATAGCGAGAAAAATGTGTAAAAAAAAATAAAAACAAACAGAGGCACGTGCAGCAACGTGCGACGCGTTCGTCGCCCGTTCCCGATCGGTTTTGCTTGTGCGACGCAAGGATGCGCGCACACGGTCGTTTCGGCCGCTATTCTAAGTCGGAGACAGCTAAGTGCAGACCTGTTGAAGATTTATCTGCGCTGAATCAAACGAGCGGACTGGAGAGGAAGCAGGGAGCGTTGAAGCCGCCGCCTGGCCGAACCCGCGCCGGACCACGGCTCAAAGGCATACCATTCTATTATTGAAAGCCCCGGCACCGTTAAAACGCGAGCCTTTCATTTTTGAACAAGCCGTTATACACACTACCGCGAGAGGAGAATATTCGCCAAGAGCCGTCATGGCCATACGCAAACAACCCCATCTTCTCTCTCCCGCCCTTCTCCTCGTCATGAGTTTATAGTAAATCTCGAGTATTTAAATGCGCGAGGAAGAGAACAGTTTTTTTTTTTTTTTTTAATTTGAAATGTGAAATAATAGATAATTTGATTGGATTCGTGTTTTATTTGTTGCGATAAACAATTTGCAAACATCGCGCTTACACAAATAATCAAAGCATAATTATCGCGAAAACATAAAAATTATAATTACAATTATTAGAGAGAATAATTGAATATTTTTTAAATAGATTTTTGAAAATTGTTTTCTAACAAGTGAAGTTTTCTAAAACCAATTCCGACCACACCGTGACTCTTTTCTCTTTTCTATACGCGCGCTCCTCTATTTCTTTCTCTCTCCCTCTGCGTACATTTATATTCGACTTTTTCGAGTACCTCCGAAATAGAGAACGGCACTTTGGCATAAATCGTTGTTTTACATGCACCCTCCACACATTACTGGAACAGGGTTGCACATCTATCCTCGATAAAAGCCGAAACAATTGCGATGGCTTTGTGCCGCGCAATGTTTTTCCACAGCGACCAGCCGGGAATTGACGATTGTCTCTATCACCACTTTTATCGTTGCTGGCCGAACGTTCTCGTTTTAGTTTGCCAAGCGTGATACAATGATAGTGAATTTAGAACTTACATACCGTTAGCTTTCTATCGGAAACAACGGAACGGACATTTGTTTTGATATTTTCTAATTTTCTCTATCACGTAGCACATTTTGACAATTCGATTCTTTTTTTTGTGAAAAGTAATGAATTACCTTATAAAGAGAGTAAAAAGTTTACAAATTGTATCTTTTATAATAAATTATTTTACTGTTCGACGAGTTGGAAGTAAAATGTAAAGAGCGCATGTTTATAAATTATTTTTACAAAGTGAAACACTAAAAAGTAAACTTTATGATAAAAAGTTTATAAACTGTATTTTATAATGAATTATTCTACCGTTCGCGGCGAGTTGAGTTCACTCTACTTTATGTGAAGTGGATATAAAGTTGAATATAAACTCGAAGATGTTATGTGCGGCGAGAAAATTTGCGCGTATAATGTTTGCGTTTTATACGAGACCTATTATTACCAAGGGTATGATTAATAGACTGTTTTCTTTATTTGCAACATATTGTTCGGCGACAACACTTACCGTAGTCTCTCTTGCAATACTTGTTGAGATTTAGTCTCTTCGTGCTCGCGCGGCATTTTCCACACTGATCTGCAACAGAACGAAGCACAAATTATACAGCTTTCAGTGGCTTAATCAATTTATGGCGATGCGGGTTAATTCGCGGTAGTTAATTCTCTCGAACGCGCAGACGTCGACGTACGAGAAAACGCGTTGTTGGCAGAACGTTATTTAAAGTTGCGCGCGGAATACAATTCGGCCGAATCGAGCAAATTGCCGGAATTGATCTTTGTGCAGGGGTTACCGGAATGACAAACCGGTCGTTACGGTAAACATCGCGCGATATACATCACGTAAAAGTGGATTAAGATCAACAGATACAATGGCGTTACGTCATTGCTATTTGTTCAGAAATAGATAAACGATATACATATCGATTTATATGAACAACAACTATTATGTAGGAAATTCATATATCGCAAAAAATGTTATTACAATTTATTATCAAGTTCTTGAGAAAACAGCACACACACACACAATCATTGTCTCTGTTCGCGTCTCTCAAAATTGAAGATAAAGCAAGACCACAGAATATTAGACACTAGATCCGCTCAACCGCAAACTAGGGTTTTCAGTGTTCAAACACAATCTGAAGATCAGATCTGAAAATCACATTTTACAAAGTAAGAAATTGCAGATACAAAGATATTTTATTTGAGAGAATTAATAAGTTAAGAAGAAAATTTCTCTACGACATTATTAGCAATTTAATTCACACAGAACACCGAGAGAGACTACTATATGGACGGGTGTCGTGACGTCATGAACGAAGGGAGCCTTCGACCTCGTGTCGCGCACATATCGCAAGCACTTGGGTTACTTCAGCTCGTCTCGTCTCGTCTCGCACTTGACACGGCCCATTATCATCCACCGGCGTATCCATCCATCTATTATCTAACCGTGACTATCCATCCATTATACATCCCGTACGGTCATCGCGTCTCCGAAGTTCCACGTCTCGCAGCCGTTCAATTAATTTTCCGAGCAATACGTTATAGTCATATAGGGAGACACCGAGGGAGAGAGATGAAAGTCAGCATTGTGACCATGACGAGGCAAGTTCTAAATCACTTGCCTCGAACGTGCGAGTAAAAAACTTCTAATTATCTTTTTTTTTTTTCTAAAACAAAAAGCGTAGAAACAGCTCGGCAATTAAATAATTGAAAAGAAAATCGTAAAAAAAAATCGTTATTATTAAATTTTCCTGCTTAGCAACCTATTTGAAAACTACTGAAGATTGATCGGTCCTGAAGGAACGAGTGTGGGTAGACAGATGTGAATCGACGTGACACGACGTACGCCGGGCGTATGGGGCTAACTGGCGAATTAGCGTGAGTCGGCCCACCTGGTGCTTGACTCGCGATATACCATACCGACGTTTGTTCGTTTGTACGCTGCGACGTTCGCCGGGATCGCGCACGTGTCGGGGTTTGAAAGCGCGTGATTGATCGGCCGGCAGCGCGATCGAGAATTGCCCGCAAGATCGGCCGACTGTTGCACGCCACGTTGATTTATCAGCAGCGACGTGGTTGGATTTCGCAACGCGGCCGGAGATGGTAACGAAGAAGAATTTCTAGCATCGGATCTGAAGCCGCGGTGTGATCTTATAAATATACATATATATATAATATAATAATAAATTTCGAATAATTAAGTAGAAAGTAAAGTGGTTCTTTATTACGGTTATTATCTATCGGTTGTTTTATCTAATCGTTCTTTATTGGTTATAATCGTGAGAAAAAGACCAACAAATAAAAAGAGAGAGTGTGCCTCCTCTGATGCGCCAGTGCATCTGTTCGCGCATTGCGACGCTCGTCGCACGAACCTAACCGCATCGAGCAGAAAGTTGGCGTGAGAAACACGTGTCGTGCCAAATATTTCGAGCCGCCACCGGATAGGCAGCGAAAAATATTTGTTTTCCCGATACGAGAGAGGGAGTGGGCAACCGGTTTATTCACATGCGCGACGGTACATGTATTTTACGACGTCGAACGTCGCACATCCGGTCCGCAAGAATGGGACGGCAAAAAAAGGGAGGCAAAAAACGGACGAGAGGGACGAAGACATTTTTTTCAGACCGAGCAATATGCGCGCGCGCGCGCGTGCGCGTGTCGGAGATCGTGTGTTGCGTCGTCTTCTGCATTCTGCTTGCGTTTCAAGTAGAACAGGTAGATGCGCTGTCAGCAAAACGGTCGCTTATCAAAGAATGAATGTTAACCACCGTATCCTTATCTTGTTCGAGAGTAAATAGTTTTATTCAACGCGGGTGAGAATTTTTTTCGATAATTTAACAAAATGTTTTTTACCTTTCGTTATTCGCTGCGTTTCCATCTACCCCGCGTTTTCCTGCTCGCGCGTCATTTATCGAGACGCGGCCGCGAGGATAAACGCGAGAACACAAAACACGACACACACGGAGTACTCCGCACTCGCACGAGAGAATCGACTTTGAGAGATCTCTGACCCTGGGAGTGTCGCATTTTTTGCCGTACACATTATCATAGACTTCTATAATATATACCGAGCCGCTATAAGCTGGTGAGATATGGGCGAGGCAGCGCCACTATATGCAATACAGGAAGCAGAAGCTGCGAGAATGATGAAACATGGATAAGTGTCTGAGATTTCCGTCGTCACCATTAGTCACAGATTTTTTCAACATTTTTAGTACGATTATTCGACCCTGACTTTTGCAAAACAAACGCAAAAGCGAATGCAGAAAGCTTTGAAAACACATTACATATTTACAAACACGTATTTGTTTTTTCATCAAAAAAGCAAAAATGATTAAAAATCCAAGTTTTATAAGTATTTGCTTGTTTAAATAAATATAGTTACAAAATCTAGCCTTGATGTTATATTTGTTGCTCGATAAAGTAAAAAAAACGACTTTTTCTGAAAAATTCTTCTCGCTTTTTACGAATATACAAATTAACGTCGGTCGCGCGTGTTTGTGCGGTTCTCGCATCGTCGTTATTCTGATCGCGTGCGAAAGCGGTCTGTGTCGAGTCCGTAATTACGATTAGACGCCTCGGAGAAAACCAATTCTCTTCTCGCGGTTGGTGTTAGAGGTTTACCGATTAAGCAGTGCCAAAGACCCGCAAGAGAGATACGCACATCCTCTTTATATTTTTTTATCTCGTTCTCATCGCGATAATCCCAGTGTGTCGATTTCTTTCTCCCGGTCGTAAATTTAATTCCAATTATTAGCGACGATCTCTTTTCTCTTGTGAAAAATCGAACACTTTCGCGATATTTCACATTCTCTAATAATAAAAACAAAAACGCGCGTTGAATCGATTTGTTCTTTAAATATTTTTGCGATTTTTGCTTTACACGACGTATAAAGTATGTGTGTGTGTGTGTTCGAGTACTGCCAATTCTTGACAATTGCTGGTTATATTACATATAAAATTTATAAAATTAATAGCACGAATTGTGTGTGTTTATATCGTAATAAAAAAGAAAACGAAGAACAAAGGAATTGATTAGCGGATGTAATTACACATTTGAAAACACGGATGAATAAATGCTAAATTAATTCGCCCGCGGCTATTCTCGGATCGGATCTTTTTCGAATTAAACCACGAAATAATGGAAATTTAATTTCGATTCATTCATCATTATACACATGTAAATATAGAGTTGTGCAATGCAAAGAACAATTTATATAAAATCGCGAGTATATAAAAGTCCAGAGAGCTACGTGCGCAGTCAGTTTTTAAGCCTGTCTGTTTAATTAAACGATAATATATATATATATATATACACACACACACACAGAGCTTATTGAAAGTAATTCAAGTCTGTTATTGAAGACCAATTTGCAAACTTTTATAATTTTCAATATTCAATATTATGTTTTCGTAATTTAGGTCACGCACACTTGTGCGCTTGTTTTTCGTGCTACAAAAACTCGAATTCCTATAAAAATATTCAAAAATTTTCAATAACGACAGCTTGTTTCGTAAAAACATAGAGGAGCTATAGAAAAACACATGAAAATAACATATATTAATAATCATTAATCAGCTTTTTAGTACGTGGAGAAATATCAGAAACCAAGAAAGCTTTCGTAAACGCATAGATTCGCGAAGATGTAATTGAATACATAATTATACCGTTACGGAATTCCGACAAGTAGATAGCAGTTAGCGTACGGCTTTATTCGAACAACACGTGTATGTTAGATAAATTAATAATGTTCTCGGCACCGAGCACCAGAGTAACAAATGCCCGTGCACGCGTAAGAAACCTCGCTAATGCACCGGTAAATAATCGCACAAGTGGACGTATAAAGGGAAGATAAATTTCTACCGTCGACTTTGGAGGATTTCGAGATAAGGAGTCACACCGTAAATGCGATAAAAAAAAAAGCAAACTGTAAGACGAAAGGAGCAAAAATAAAATATGAAATATTATATTTGCCACTTTGGCGTGTAAGATACACGCGTGTTTTCGCGATTTATAATTCTTTCTTTTTTTGTTTTTTTTTTTACTATTTTTGTTCTTGCGCTTGTATCTTATATTCGAGTATACGCACGTATTTCCGGCACAATATGCGAGACCGCGTGTATGTACGCGCTGGTGTACGCGTCATTCATAAACGTCCTTTGGACTCCATTCATCCTGATCCATTCATCGCATCGGTCGTCCCCGACACGACGGAGACACGACACGACAGCAGTCGGAAGTCGCGCGATTTAGACACCGATATTCGCGCGTGTAATCCGCTTAGATTCAATCGCCTGGGCATCATCGTTAGTACGAGGCGTCCGATCGGGATCTTTCTTTTGTGTGTCTTAATCGCCGTCAATTCGTAACAGCGTGTGAAAGAGCGGTCGCTAACAGCTGTCTCTAAAAATGTATCTTTCGAAACAAGGATTTAAGTGGTGTTTTTGTTCTCACGTGTTTATGGTGGATTAGAAATGCTTCAGTGGCGTAATAAAATTAATTACTTGTTTTTATTAATTGTATGAAATACGTTGCGGTTGGTTGGTTGGTTTTGTATCAAAGTAAATACAATGAAT